TTGGACGAGAGGGCCTGGCTCGCAATCTCCATTCTAGTTCATCCCAAAGGTGTTCAGTGGGGTTGAGGTCAGGGCTCTGTGCATGCCGGTCAAGTTCTTCCACACCAAACTCACCCAACCATGCCTTTATGAACCTTGATTTGTGCATTGGGACACAGTCATGCTGGAACAGAAAAGGGCCTTCCCCAAACTGTTCCCACAGAGTTGAAAGCATACAGTTGTCCAAAACGTCTTAGTATGTTGAAACATTAAGAGTTCCCTTTTACTGGAACTAAGGGGCCTAGGCCAACCCCTGAAAAACAACCCCATAGCATTACCCCTTCTCCACCAAACCTTACAGTTGGTACAATGCAGCCAGGCAGGTCACATTCTTCTGGCATTTGCCATACCCGGACTCGTCCATCCGTCTGCCTCCACAAAATACATTTTCACTGCTCCAGAGTCCAGTGGTGGCATGCTTTACACCACTCCATCCAACGCTTGGCAGTGTGCTTGGTAATGTAAGGCTTGCATGCAGCTGCTCAGACATGTAAATGCCATGAAGATCCCAGTACACAGTTTTTGTGCTGATGTTAATGCCAGAGGAGTTTGGAACTCATAACTGCAGTTATTAAGTCAGCAGAGTGTTGGCGACTTTTATGCACTATGCGCCTCAGCACTCAGCGAGTCCGCTCTGTAACATGGTCTGCCACTTCGTGGCACAACTCACAGTTGATTGTCGAATATCTAGGAGGGGAAAATTTTTGCGAGCTGACTTGTTGCAACGGTGGCATCCTATTGCAGTACCATGCCCCACCAATGACCCATTCTTTCACAAATGTTTGTAAAGGCAGACTGCATGGCTATAGTGCTTGACTGTATATACCTGTGGCAATGGGACTAAATTAAACACCTGAATTCAGTGATTAAGAGATGTGTCCCAATACTTTTGTCCATATGGTGTATGACGTGGTCTGAAAAGCTACTGCTTTGACCCGACTTTCAAATTATTATTTCAGGCTTTATAGGGCGACTTGCAGCAGCACATGTACAACATATTTTAGCATGTTTTTTCCCTCCTGACTCAGTAATGCTACTTTTTTTTCAATTTCACCAAAACATCTTACATAGTGCAGCTTTAATTATTTTCCACCCCTGAGCATAAACCACCAAGTGATGAACAGAAACAGCTTTCACAGTTTGCTTAATTAAAAGTTATTTTTTTTAGCTATTTTCACAACTGTGCAGAAGTTAAATTTCTGTAAATATTCATATCATTCTGTAACATTCTGCATGTAATAGTTCTTACAGTATATGTCATCAGACCTTCATAGATATGGGTATTCTTATCTGTGTATGTACAGAGATTCTCTTTAGCTCCTCCATGGCTCTTTATTATTCATTATTCTTAATTCTATTTATTTTCATTTTATTTTTCCCTTAGCCAGATATTTCTTAACAGTCTGTTTACTTGTCTTGTATGTTTAGTATGTTATATGTTATACATATATGCACTCACCAAGACAAATTCCTTGTACGTTTAACATACTGGGTGAAATAAAATGATTCTGGTTCTAAAGGTGGCCTTTCTTTTTTGTCTGGCTGCACATCAGTTTTGGGAGTACGCCTCTAGCCAAAGTACTTTTCTAGGTCTAGATCTAATGTAATTTTTACTTTCTTTCTGTGGTGGAGGACAAGAAGCTACATGCTTAGTTAACACTTTTTCCCACACTTAGACCAATATTCTCATACCTGGTCTATCATAAAGCAGGAAAGTCTATCATAATGCAGTCAGACTCTTGCCTTTGTTAGGCAGTATGCCAGAACTGCAGTAGTTTCAGTGTTACTCACCTGTGACGTTGATTAGCTTAACTGGAGTCATATTACAGAGGCTATGGACAGTATGTAGAACATGTAGCAGAAGGAATATGGTACTGTGTGATCATTCTCACCTTCTGAGACCATTGTGTCAAGTGTATCTGTCATGTCTTGCAGATCTTTGTACCCTAATGCAGCCGGTACAGTGTCAGATATACAACACCCGTTCATTCTGGCCGAGCTAGGCCAACAAGTTCTTGGGTGGAGTGCTAAATATTTCACACAGCCAAATATTAACCCAAGACTTGCTTATAATAAAACCACACTATTTACGTGTTCTTAATGCATCTTTAAATGTTTTGCCAAAACTTTTGTGATAAATATGAATTGAACTGTCAGCATGCACTGAGAGTTATCAGCAGTGTTTGTGCTTCATATCATTCTGTGTGAAGTTTTGTTTGTTTTCTGCACGTAGCCTAGGCAACATCAGCCAGAGGATCTGACTGCACTGCTGGATGTTATGATGTAGGAACACGTTGTGTAGTATTTTGCTACGTTTTTACATTTTCATAGATTTTATAACAAACACAACAATTATTTTATTTTGTGTATTTAAAACATGGACGAAGACTTGATTTATTATTGATTATCACTGCCTATTTGTCACAGTGAAGGCTGTTAGATCTTAAAATTTAAATTTTATATTAGACAAATAGAACCTAATCAAATACAAGACATATTATTTAGTTATTTTGCTTATTTAGGGATCCACATGTCAATCAGCCATGTGAAAAAGTACTTGCCCCCTTAAAACTAATAACTTGGTTCCCGACCTTTAGCAGCAAAATCTGCAGCCAAGATATGGTCCTATAATTTAGCAGATTTTCACATTGTTGTGGTGGAATTTCAGCCAGCTCTCCTTAGGCAGAATTGCTTTAATACAGTTGTGTGTAGGTTTTTAAGCATTTACTGCTCCTTTAAGGTTCTGCTACAGCAGCCCTTTGGGATTCAATCATGACTTTAACAAGAACATTAATTTTGCTTCTTTTCAGCCATTCAGACATGGATTTTCTTTTCTATTATGCATCATCATCTTCCTGCATAACCTGATTATGCTTCAGTTTCTGCTCATTCACAGATGAACAGACTGTTCTCAAGAATTCTCTGATACAGATCACAATTCATGGTTCCTTCAACAAAATCCCCACACCTTCCCACTGCCCTGACCATGTCTGAATGTTGATATGATGTTCCTATTGTGAAATGCAGGACATGCGTTATATAAAGCCAACCATGTTGTCCAGAAACTTATATTTTGGACAGGTCTGTCCATAGAGTATTAACCTAAAATGCTTAGGGATTGTGTTTTTTTTTTCAGGTGAACACTTATGTTTCTTTTGATGGACAGTGTTTTCTGCATTGCTGCTCCATCATGAATGCCCAGTCCGCTTTCTTACTGTGGAGTCATGAACACTGACCTTTCTAGGTGAGGCTGCAGTTCCCTTGCCTGCACTCCTGGAACCTGTGCCAACTTCCCAGATGATTTTCCTCTGTGCTCTTGGGGAAATTCTGGCAGGACAGCCACATCTGGGAAGATTCACCAATGTTCCTGTGGCACCAACTGTGGTTCAGTGATGTCCCAGAAACTTAGACATGGTTTTGTAACGCTTTCCAGACAACAGATATATTTTGACAGTTTTTTTTCCTTCATCTCTTTTGGATTTTCTTTTGATCACGGCCTCATGTGTTTGTAAAAACCTTGTGGCGACTACGCCACTTTGATGGTAACATCCATAGTGAGGTTTACTTTTAATAGGGCTGGCATTCTAACCTCGCTGTATTCAATCAGCTGAATCTCATTACCAGTTAAAATTTGGTTAAATTGTTAATTGAGTAACCAAGGGGGCAATTACTTACACTGAATGAGCTCATTCAGCAACAGACTGAAACACATGTGATGTGCCAAGGACTGGCATGTGAGGTGATTTTTACATTGCTATTAGACTCAGTGAGTCATCTTACAGCCGAAGCAACACACACCTCCTGTTGCTGGGCTGATGATTAATGAGGTTAATAACACTGAGTAACATTTCTCTATACTTCTACTTTCTTCATGCTAGTGCTAAGAGTCCTATATTATTATTATCCTTTCTTTTATAGTCCTTGTAAATTTGTATAAAGTGGATATGTTGGATATTAATACAGTATGTTGTAATGTTAATAGTTTTGCATGCTCCTGCTGCTGTAATTCTGTGCTTTCCTTAATAAAAGTTAATAAAATTCTTTTTTTTTCTTTCTGTTTTTTCTATATGGATAGATGATTTACATGTTGGCCAACCTTGCTCCTTAAATAAATTATATTAATATAAAAAATGTGATTTATGTTTGAAAACATTCTCTTGGTCTTTACTTAATATTACATTTTGAAGAGCTACTGTGACAAATATACAACAACAGAGAATATCAGGCAGGGGAGAGGATACTTTTCATAGCACTGTATGTGATAGGCAAAAACAATCAATAATAGGTCACATTGCTAACTTTGGCTAATTCTGAATGAAGAGGCGGCTCTTACTGGGGCAACTACTATGCCTCACTGATGGGACTTCCCATCACCACTCTGCTCCAGAGGTACTATCCCTTCACTCAGTTCATTTAAACTATACTAGGAAAGAGAAAAGTGTAACAAAGTAATACAGTCTAAATATCTGTGCCACAATAGATACTGAGAATCAAAGAAAACACCTAAAAAACACCTAAAAGAACAATCAAAATACAATTTGGTGAGTTGAAGAACTGAAAAACAGGAAGTAACCTGAGCTTTCTTCTCAAACAAGAAAGCATGCATTCTCTCGGTGCCTTTTACATTACAGGTAGCACGGAGTATCATACCACAGCTCAAAGGCAACGTGACAAATCACTTCCACTGTGCATGAATTGAATGTGTAGCCATAATTTGATTACATATATCCTGCTGGTCAAATGTTTTATAATATAAAACCATGTTTTTCACTATTATTTTTTAATCTCTACAGAATATTTGTGATAATATTATTATTATCAGTTACATTCAACACTTTCGAAGAGTTAAATGAAAAATCCCCAGTTTCAAATAAATGATCATCACAGCAAGTTTTTCAGAAGTTTAATAAGTTGGAACAGCAGCAGCAATACAATATTTATATAAAAAAACCCTTCTAAAAAATCCAGTTTAACAAAACTAATTACGCTCACCCAGTGATGAAACACACAGTTTCTCACTGTTCTTTAAGTACTGTTGATCTCCACGATATGCTACAGTGCATATGTACAGTAGCTGTATCCAAAACTGCATCCTATTCACTACATAGTGCACTATTTTTTATTTTGTAATGATGCCCAAAAACGTAATGCAGAAGATTCAGGGCACTCACACAATCCCACAATGCACTGCAACACGTACTGTACAATCGATGTACCCTAGCAGACAGGAGATATCCTGAAATGCACTTGCGTTTGAAGATTCATGGGCAACTTCTCTGAGGAGGATTACTGGGCCCAGCTACAATGTCAGTGTCACAGATCTGAGTTACAGTCAAACTCAGCAGTTACCATGGACTGATGGCAGGACGTTTATGGTGTTTATGCTTCAAAATCTGCACAATAACGAGCAAACTCGTATGTTATCTACAATAGTGTTCTACATAGTGATCCAGATTTTTGAATGTAGGATATATTGACTGGGGAACCATTTCGGACACAGCAAGTGATGCAATTTATCATGATAACAAAAAAGTTAAAGGGCTATCAAAGATTTTGAAGGGGCAGTGTTTCAGGGACTATATATAAACAAAGCAAATAGTTTAATACAAATAAATAGTTTTAACACGGAATAGATAAAGCACCTTGATATTCCTGTGCTGTGAAATATATATACATAGTGAAGATTTTCTCACATTAAAATGGTTTAGATCAGGAACCTGTTGCTTTATTAGTGACAACCACAGACGTTAAGCATCTCTGTTTTCCTGTTTTTCTATTTTAATTGTGCCAAATTTTACAGTTTAGATCTTGCATCTCTGCAAACCATCTGACCATAAACGGACACCCTCATGTGTAATTTGGTCCACTAGCCACTGCAGGGTAAAACCAAGCGAATCAAATGAAAAAGGAGAATGTTCCAAAAACCCAGACTCAGCCTGATGTTATTCAGTGATGTAAGTTAGCAAAGGATTTTTTTTAAACAATAAATTTTGCCCCATCAGTTTTGGAGGTGTAGCGCCACCCCTGAGTATAGATATATATTTAAATAGAGTTTAAAAAATATCAGTAAATCTCTATTTTTTTTTTCTAGAAATTAGAAGCATCTGCTAACTTGTATTTCACAATAAATAGCACACAAAGCCAATCCTATTTCTATCAATTTTATTTACCAAAAGCAGTGAGATGACTGTCAGTGATTGCTGTCTTGGCTGTAAGTTACACCGACCTGTCTTCTGGCTTCGTCCATTATCTCTGCAAGAAGACTGGACTCTGACAGGGACATCACAGAGCTCTCCTTCAGTCCTGTATGATCAAACACAATGGCTAAGTGGAAGTTTGTTTTATAATATATGCAGTGATCTATGAAAGACTGCTTCATAATATATGCAGTCTGTCATGATGTTTATTCCAGCAGTGTTATGTGCCATTCAGTGCCGCAGGCTTTGACAAATCAACAGTTGTGTTCTCATGGCCCCTATAACATTTCAGTAAGAGATAAACTGGCCAATCAGATGTCTGCATGGTTGTGTAGTAGAGTCAAGCAACAAGCTCTCCAGCAAGCACACACCAAAAATGCCACAAATATGAGGTGTCAGAAAACATTTGATTTCACAAACTGATAATGCTGAATCAGGGAAAGAGAGACAACAACAGACAAAACAAAAAGAAATACAAGTTTTTTTCTGTATTCTAGCAATCGTATAAAAATCCAAAAACAGATCTTTCCTAAGATTATGTGGAGAAAAATGTGCAGAAAGCACCTGGTTTCCCAGAAGCATCCCACGGTAAAACTCTTAAGTCTTATAAAGACTGTTCAAAGGGATTTTACATCTACAATCACAGCCCAAGCTGCTGGGTCTTACCACTGAGAAGACACTGACGAACGTCTGCAGCTTCATAGCGCAGTCCTGTACTATGGGTGAAGTTGAGAGGCATGCAGGGCTCTGGTAGTGGGTGCCGAATGACTTTACTATTCACCTCCAACGTTACAGGACACCACATGTGATCTGGTATCTACAGAGGACAACAACAACATCATGGCTTTATATACACCAGTCCTTAGAGCCCTGTAGACATCCACATTTTTGCTCAATCCATTCCAACACCTAGAACAAAAATGTGGACCAACAGGGGGGCCCGAAGGACTGGTTTAACAACCACTGATATACACTCTATGTCCAAAAGTTAGTAGACACCTGCTCATCCAATGTTTCTTCTGAAGTGAAGGGTATTATTAGGGTGATTGTACCTCTTTGCTGAAGTAACAGCCTCTACTCTTCTCGGAAGGTTTTACACCAGACATTAGAACATTGCTGTGAGGATCTGACTGCATTTAGCAATAATCCAGTCCGAAGAAGTCGGGAAAGCTGCGAACAGGGCTTAGGTAGTTTTCAATATTCACAAGACCATATTCTCTTCAGACAGAAAAACTGTGAGAGAAATTCGCAGGGTGAGATCATATTTACACCATATTCTCTTCAGACAGAAAAACTGCAAACAAGTTTGTAAGGAGATGAATACTTAGGAGAAAAAGTGTGAGTAAGGTTTGTGTGACTGAGATTAGGGTTTGTAGTGGCTACCAGTAAATTGTGTGTTTTTGTACCAGTACATCATGTTTGTTTTGTCTGTGTATTGTTGTCGTTGTTCTCATCATTTTCTTAATACTAACAGGTACCATTGAGGATTTACCCCTAAAAGATTTTTTGCAGGATATATTTCCTTGAATTAATTATGTAGATTACTTTGTTCTTCTTTGTGCAAATTATACTGTTTTTGTAAAATTTGAAGTTTTGGGTCCCTGGTTGAGTAAGGTACAACAGGCACAAGACTGGAAGTACAGTGACTATGATTATCACTCTGATATCTTAGAAGTTTACTGCTTTCCTTAATGTTCTATGTATTCAGTCCAACAAGATGTACACATTGTAAATTCTCCTATAATGACTTCCTCGCAGCCGAGTTCTGAGGATCAATCAGACTTTTCTGATTTGCTTTCTGGTTTGAGACTCATTTGACACTGGAAAAATGTTGAATGTTGAATTGTTGGTAGTTACTCCTAAAACTACATTCCGACCATATTGTGCTCAGTATCCTTGTGAAAAACGCCACCCATTGCAAGAGGGCTCCAAACCCACCACTAAACCAAATCACTTTGAGCAAAGCCTTCGCATGTCTGCTCTACACAGCGTACAGCACTATGAAGAAGAAAAATCTAAAGAAAGCTGAGGTGCCGCATTATAATTCCCCTAAAAGACCAATTACACCTGCACAGGTATATAAGACAATACTCAATGATCCACAGTTGGTTGGGTCACCATATATTACAACTTCTTATAACAAACGAAGAGAAAGGACTTTTAGTCATGATGGAATATTTTTTTCCAAAACTTTATATTTTGTTGATGTGTGTGCAAAAGGACACCGCTATCCAAGAGTCAAAACTCCCATGACTTTCTTTGGGATAACTGAAGTAGAATTCGGTTGTGTGACTGCAGGGACAGTGGTAACTGTTTATTCTTTGCATCTAGCTGGTTTCTGTATATGGTCCAAAATAGAAAAGTCACAGGAAGCACATGACGCTTGCATACTGCAGCAACTGAGCTAAAAAGAGGATACAGTGAGGGGTGAGAAATGCCAGTTAAACGTTTTGTTTGGCCAAGATAATGCAAAGTTAATGCAAATTGACCACCAGTTCCACTAGTTTCCCTCAGAGCTATAGAGGTGCTGTTATTTGGCTTCAAAACCAGGAGTATACAAATATAAAACTCTTTTTAGACCTTGCATGAAATCATCTAGTAAATTGATCATGGCGTTTTTATTGATCCTTAAGTTTGTGTATGCGATCCTACCAGGAAAGGGAATAACCTATCATGATAATGAAGTTCTGACTATGATGATTGAATTTGCAAAGGCAATGAATTACTCTGATTTCTGGATCTGTCAGCAATTACTCTGCCCCAATCCCATTCAGATTGTCTGAGTGGTGATCTATCAGTTGGCCAGATTTTGCAGAGAACTGTGTGTGTGATTCTAATGCCTGCTGTTGCCCTAAAATCTTTTGCTACATGTTACCTAGCTAGGTTGGTCCCGTTCATTAGATGCATGCATGCACAAGACAATTGAGTCATGCACAAACAAAAACCAACCCTCATGCAAGGTGTAAAGATTTTTCTTGGTTAAGGTATTTATAGTAGTGAGAAGGAAACTGAAGCTTTTTCGATTGTGTTACAAAATCACATGAACACTTCTCTCAAAGCAGAAGTGAATTAGATAAAAGAAGTAGCTCTGCAAAACTGTGTTGCATTTAAAGTGTTTAAGGTTTGTGAGGTTGTGGAAGGGAAGTGCTGCACTTATTTCTGATGACTCAATCATACTGTGAGAGCTCACCCAAGACACCTCACACATTATAAAAGAACTACATAAAAAAACATTGTAGGGATCCTTCTCATCTGTATCTGTGGTTCACCAGTAGGGGTTTGTGGACAAAGCTACTATTGATTGTGGGTTCAGTGATATTTCTGATTACTATGTTGATGTGGAAAATATTCATGCTGTGCCCGACTCCCTGTCTGACTGGTCCCAGTAACAAGAACACGGCCCTTAATTACTATCCTCATTCGTACCGCAAATTAGACTGACCATTTTAGTACCACCTGGACCTTTCTGTCGAAGACAACTCCAGCGTTTAGGCAGTCTTGGCCCAAACACTTGCTTTTGTAGTGAGAAATGTGAGAAAAAATCTTATATTCTGATTATAAGCTTAGCTATATTTTTACATTAAGCTAGTATTTAACTTTAATCAAACAGCCTTCATTTTCTGCCTGGCAACAAAGTAATCTACAGAAGATATCATCTGACATGCTGTCATTTAATCTTTTTTTAAGACACATATAGGGTGTAGATATTTCCTGTGTAAGCAAGAAGGGAAATAAGAAAAGCATCTGCCACTGTGGTTGATGCTCATTTGCTGTCATCACCTTCTTTTAGAAATAGGGCCTCTGTCTTGAACTTAGATCATGTTCTAGCATTGTTTTTTATGTATAATTTTACAAAATCCATATTTGGTAAGTTTTTATTCTGTGAGAAATCTTAAGCTTTATATGAACTGTTCTGAAGAGCCTACATAATCCATCGTCAGAGTGAATGTGAATGTTAGAGACTTCTCGTCACAAGACGGTTACTCTCCCAGTACTGGAACAGAGGAAGATTTTCTTTAAATCAACTGCATGATTTCTCATCTTCCCTAACAACCTTAAGGTAGCTTAATTCACTAATTAGAAGGGATGTCTGCATACTTTTGGACAAACAGTGTATGAGATAAAAAGGCAAAGTTTATTATTGTGTTGCAGTGGTTCAGTGTAAGTTAATCTAACAAGACTTCATTCTAAGTCATTTTGTACCATTACCAATTTTGCCAAAATGTAAAGGGCAACTGGTATTTTCAGATTTTGCCAAAAAAGTGTCAAAAATGGAGATACAACATTTTGTTCCAACAGCAATGATATATATGTAGCTCGCTGTTGCTATGACTTTGTGACTGTACCTCTCTCGTTCTCAATCTTTTAAATAGATCTTTTTAAAAAGTTTTATTATGGCTCCCTTTACTGTAATCCCAACATACAGCAAACTAACAAAAGCAACAGCAAAGTAGAAAATGGCAGTTCCCCTTGAAACAAGACATAACATAGTGGTATGAAAGTGAGAGGCTGCAGTCCCAGAGCATGGAGCCACTGCGCCTCTCTGTGGTGAAAATAAGGATCTGTGTTCACTTTATGTTCATGTTCAGTCTGCCTTTACATTGTTATATGTTTAGTTTCATTTGAACACAATGAAAATAATGTTACTGAATTGTTGAAAGTAATAAATATATCCTGATGAAGCTTATTTTGTCCACTCATAGAGCTACAACAAAATGCACTACTTACTTTTTATCGAACAAATAAAGCAAATGTGATACATCATGATTAACTACACAAGAGAATGTGAATAATCATGGATAATTATTTTAATCATTTGAGAGCACTAATTAACTTTACCATATGGCACATTTTTGGCTACTCCTTATTTCCACCATATTTGAATTGAGACACCACCGCACTGTATTGAATCCAATTCTGTATTTTGTGTATCGTTAAAACCCCAATAATTATTGTTAACATGCTTTGAAAACACACATACCTTAATCATGCCCTTGGTGCCAACAATCACAGCGTCATTAGTGAGCATCATGGATATGGAACACGTGCAGACAGCCATTCTGTTGTGTGAGAATTTCAGCACAATGACCATGTGCCCATCAACACCTACAATATAATGAATGGTTTACTGTGTTTATATTGCTTCTAAAATATGTTGCTTGACACACACAGAACACAACCCACAAACAATTACTGGGAAGAACCTCAACAAAACCTTTGTGTTTATAGATAATTATAGATAATCTTTATAGATAATTTAACAGAAACAACTTAATTTATTTGACTTCATCCAAGCTTCCTATTGCTTTTAGTCACTCCTAAGCAGTGCAGTTTAATCATGTTTAAGAGAATTCAAAAATATTAAGCTGAGAAAGTTACCCGTGTCCAGCTTGTATCCTGTGGCTTGGATAGATTCAGGCCTTTCCCCTCTGTACACCATCAGCACAAACTGCAGACAGTAGACGCCAATGTCTAGCAGCGCCCCACCACCCAGCTCTTTCTCAACAAGCCGAGGGATGTGTGTGAGGGGGGCACCTAGATCTGCCCTTACCATCCTTACCTCTCCAACATCACCGTGACTCAGCAGCTCCCTGACCTCCACAGATACAGGAAAGAAACGTGTCCACAATGCCTGCAAAAACAGAGGAAAGCTCACTGTAGTTTGCAAACTAGCTGCAGTGACCTAGCAAAAATGATGAGTAAGCTTTGTGATCTTCTAACTCACCTCCATCAAAAAGACTTTATTTTTCTTGGCAGTGGCTACAAGTTCCTTTACTTCTTTTGCGTTCATAGCAAGTGGTTTCTCAATTAGCACATTCTTCCCAGCATTCATAAAGAGTTGGCCCACTCTCAGGTGGTGAGGATGGATGGTACCAACGTACACCACATCTGCAGGGTTCACAGACTGCATTTCAAGATGCAATGTAGTAGAAGGACTAGAATGAACACAGTGAATTCTGGACAGACTATGATGTAAAGGTTTATCATTCAGTTACAGTTCAGAACACTGCCTACATCACTCTTCACTGCCAACCTTTAGTACAGAGTGGCTTTTCTGCAGTTCTGCAGTATCTGAGCCAATTACACCGTATGTGTGTTGCCTGCTGTAAAGCATTAGCAGAAAACATATCAGTAACACATCTTTTTGTTTCAGAGAGAAGCACCTATTTCAGGGTCGATTGACAGCTCTTCGTAACTCCCATAGACTTTGGGAATACCATGCTTATCAGCGAACTCCTGTGCCTGCCTCAGTTCACGAGCTGCTACTGCAGTGACCTAAAAGGAGAAATCATTCAGTCTCTCAAAGAGCAACACTGCAGTTTAACTGCTAATAGCATGATGTAGAAAAGTTTGTAATTTAGACATTCAGCGTTTAATGGAATTACTGTAAATTCGAGTTACAGAAGTGCACCATTACAGAAAGGTCACATGCATTTAACATGTGCTCATATGTTAAGTCTAAAAAACACACAAGTAAACATATAATGTAAATGTGATCCAATGTGATTAAAATGAATAATATGTAATTACATGTGACATAATGTTATGACTACACATAAAATAATGTGAATATGTGACAACATGAAACATTTTAAATTTAAAAATATGATCATGACACAATATGAATACACTGACTGGCCACTTCATCAAGTTCACCTCCTTGGTTCTCCACCCTATCAGCTCCACTTACCATATAGGAGTACTTTGTAGTTCTACAATTACAGTGTGTAACTGTAGAACTACAAAGTACACCTATATGGTAAGTGGAGATTATAAAATGGACAACGAGTGGAGAAACAAGAAGGTGTACTTAATAAAGTGGCTGGTCTGTGAATGCCATAATGTGAATGTGTGATCACAAATGCCATAATGCAGTTATGTGATCACAGGTGCCATAATGTGATTATGCGATCATAAATGGCCTGTGATTATGTGGTCATATGTGCCATAATGTGAATGTGGTCAAAGATGCCATAATGTCAATGTGTAATTGTATGTACCATAATGTGATGACGTTAAACCACAAACTTACACTTGAACAGTGTTAATGAATGAATCACAATGTGAGAAATCACAAATGAAAAATACAAACATTTACGTTTTTACGGAAGTCCAGAGAGGTCGTGAGCTGTTGCTATAATCTTCTGGATTGCTATCTTGAGATAACAAGTTCATTATCTTGTGATCTCAAAATAACAACTTTGTTATCTTGAGGTCACAAGATAATGAACTCATTATCTCACGACAACAACTTTGTTATCTCGAGATAACAAGATAATTAACCCATTATCTCAAGATAACAAGATAATTAACTCATTATTTCAAGATAACAAGATAATTAACTTGTTATCTCAAAATAACAATCCAGAAAATTATAATTACCTCATGACCACTCCCATTTTTTCTTCAGGTTCTCGAGTGTCAGAAATCAAAAAGTAGGAAAGGGCAACAGCGGATAGCTAAAACACGGGAAATGTGTTGTTTTAAACAGTTCTCGTGAAGCCCTTCGCCTGAGTCGCCTTGCTTGTGATTTATTTGTTCCCTAACGTCAGTTTTTATCGCATGAATACTAGTTTAAAATACAGTCATACTGGTCTGACTACAGTTTAGGAAACAGAATCATTGTTATTCATTAACTTAATGTAAAGTTAAAGGCTTTCTCTACTTTCTCTCTGCTGCTACACAGAGTACTGAACCTCTGAATTTCTCCAGTTACACATTAATTCACCACATTTCCGTCCTTTTAGTCAGGCTTGTGTTTATTTCAGATTCCGCGTCGTGTTAACACTGCGAGGAGCGAGAAGTGGTCTGGACTTCCACTGAGGTCTGAGTGTTCGCTGTGGTCTTGGAAAGCTGGTACAGTACAGTCAACGTACACCGTGCACACCGCAAACGTTTGTTGGCTGTCAGACGACCCTGCGTGCCCTGCTGATCTGTTTACACCAGCTAACTAACACTACGCACTTCGCTAACGCCACAAACAAGTGGAGATACCTGATGGTCCTCTGTAGACAGGGTCTTCAGAGCCACTACAAAATCATGGCTGATTTTCCCAGCGCTGCATATTCCCCATCGAGTTGCCATGTTTACTGCAGCTGCAACTGAAACGTCTTAAACTACTCGCTAGATGGCGCCAGAGGATCATTTCACTTCCAAATCAGGACGAGTCAGTGGTCAACGTGCTGTTGTTAAATGATTCAGTAGTTTAAATTATTTAAACAATGTGAGGCCAACAGTGATTTTCAAGAGGTTAAATGCTTAAAGGGGAATTCCACTGATTTTCTAAAATGTTCATAAATCTGTATTATTCAATCGAAGATCCGTTTCAGAGAAACTTGTTTCAGGGTGGTGCTGATAGGAACCAGACGTCTAAATGCCTCTAAAACCTTCCTTACGAAAACATATTAGATTAAATGCTTATGAATACAGTGTTTTTAGGTATTAACCTAGTAAACTTTTCACAAGGTCAAAACCTAAAAACTAAAAATAATTAAAAAATAAAATCTGACTAACTTCAAAAAGTTTTCAACATTCATTCATAGTGGAAAAACTAGACCAAAACTTCAATTTAACCATGATCAGCTTTACATATGAAACTCAGGAGACATATAGGTTCACTGGTGGTTTTGGATAGTAAATAAAATGGCTATTTGCATTGTAGACATTGCAACCCCTGGTTCCTATCACAACCACTGTAAAGAAATCCAAGTGTGTATGTTTCTCTACAACTGAACCATCTCCCATCGAAACACTCTGAAAAATTGTTTACATCTCGATGACTCAATTATCCACACTTTTTTGAAAAAACAGTGGAATTTCCCTCTAAAATGTCCTCAAATTAACATATTAGATATTAGATACTTGGTTCAGTAATGTAGGCTTGTTTTCTTATAAACATTGTAAAGAAGACACAACAGACAAAATGCAAACACAAGGCTTTCAGCAGGTTTTTCTTTCAGCTGTATGTTTCAGAGCTGGGTGTGCCTTTCTTCGTCACTCCCCTTTAGGGCTGGTCTGCACCCTGCAGAAGGCTTGGCCTCTCCTCTGTTCCCAGACTGCAGGATGGTGGGAACTTGGTGAGGGTAGTGCTGTAATTGGGTGCTATTTTTAAATTCAGCATGCACAATCTGTCAAGGCCTGCTCCTCAGGGACCTGCCACCAGCAGCCTCCTCAAGCCGCGGAATTTAACCCAGGACAACTCTCCAGATGTGACGGAAAACATCTGGTCCAATCTCCTCATAGACAAGGTTCTCTTTCTGCCATGTTCTCCTTGATGGCAAGAATGCACAAAAAAGTTTAAATGCTACTCCCTTTACGTATTAAAGAAAAGTCTGGATAAAGACAGGTAGTTTGTATGAACCCTGATGTACGTTCTCATATAGTGTTAGAAAGTATTTAGCTCATAGATGATAAGCACTCTTACAACTTTTTTCAAGTGTTTTCACTATGAGATGTTTATCTGAATTTCCATTGTAACCCTCTACATCATCTACATCAGGGGTGCCCAAACTTTTTGTCTTGGGGAACCAATGTGCAGTGTTTGTTGTAGGTTGAGGACAAAACACAAAAACAAATACACAAATAGAGAAGGTATGTTTCAAATTGAGTTTTAAAAATGTATTTCATAACATTACACTATACCTTTTTCCTATAAATAGCATTTGAAAAGGAATTCGTTCAAACTGGGGTCCCACAGTAAGAAGAACAATTAAGGATTCAGACTTTAGGTATTTAGCAGGACTATGCTATGATCTATTTAAACTGAAGGCATTCATTGAAAAAGTAATGAGCTAAAAATATACAAAATCATCATTTGTAAGGTACTTCCTATTGGGATATGGCTGCCCCAAACCCTAATTTTACACTTGCAAAAATAATACTTTTTTTCAATGTTTTTTTAAAGAATGTTCTGATTTCAAATAAAGTTGGAAGATATCATTTATCATGAGTTTTATTTTTTAAATTAAAAGAAACTGCTGCGTTTTTCTGTCACTATTGAAACAGGACTGAGCCCTATTCACTATATAGTGCACTATTTGGGGGTTCTGCTATTTTCTCAAGGTGTCTGAAAACAGTGCAGAAGATCCAGCGCATTTAAACAATCCCACAATGCATTGCAGTAAGCAGCATACAACCAATGTACCCTAGTGGATTAGGGATACCCACAATGCATGGCATTGTTTGATTTGAGGATTCACACACACCTCAGTCTCCACACATCTCTCTTCAGACCTGTTACAGATGTAAGTAAACTCTTCTGTGCAGTCAGACTCAGCAGTTGTAGTGAATTGGTCGCAGGATGTTTATAGTGACTATGAGACGGAATCTGCTGTTGCACAGTAATTATATTTTTGAATGATACTCAAAATTAGCTGAAATTCTCACTGCTGAAACATTTGGTAAAGTTTCAGTAGTGTTATGATTGTTTTGGTAGGGGAACAAAAGGAATGTTCAATCACGTATTTTAATAAAATGAACATATTTAAGGTAGGTTCACTTAAATCAAAAGGATTTTAGTCTAAAGTCCAGGTCTGTTAAAAGTTCAAAATGTGTTTTAACTCTGATATTGAACCAGTTTGGTGTTGTGAATGTGTTCTCTCATTGAGGGAGGAAAACTTTCTGGTGGGCCAAATTAAACATCCTTACAGTTCACACTTTGGGCAGCCTTGCTCTAAACACTATTTAGTCACAAATACTGATAACACATGATTACACTGAACAACACTGGTTTGCCAAAGTTATTTATTTCTTGCTTTAATTTAAAAAAAAAAAAAAGATTACTTGTAAATTTGTTACAATTAGCATTTACTGAAACACATCTACGAGCTCGGTCGTTAGGCCGAGTTACATTTAGGCACACAACAGTTCTTTTCTCTTTAACTACTGACAAAGAAGAGAAAAAGGAATTGACTGTAGTATACTGCATTGAAGACAAACTGTACACAACCAAGGATCAAAAAAGTAAGCAACTCTGCACAATGCTTCCCTCAAAGGAAGGGCACAATAACCCTTTAATCTAAAATTCAACTATGTTTTATTGTGAGATTACAAAAACACTTGAAAAGTTTGAGAAGTGTAAAACACCTGCAGAAGCAAAAGGACTGTGGCAAAATCTTCTCTCAGGGCAGCATCTTCAAAATCTGTGGCAAGACCTTATTATGAACAAATTCAACAGTACAAAAAGCCTACTACAACATAAAGAGAAAATATGGTATTAAATATATTTTAAAGCAAAGCACTCACTTTCCATATCAGTGAGAAAAGTTTAAGCAGAACATTTTCACCTGTGTGTTTGGTCATGTGTGCAAAAGTGTACATGACAGAAGTGGAGACACTTGTAATGCTGTATTAGTGTGCTCTGCTTTGCACTCAAGGCCCCAAGAAAAACACTGCATGTACTTTTTGCCAGTGTGGGCCAGCTAGAAAAAGTAATACAGCACATATACAAATGGTGAAAAAGCTATCTGATTTTTATTGCCTCTACACAGTACATATGCATCAGCTTCTACTGTTAACCTTCTACACAGTCCATACGTGTTCTATGGCTTGGCTTATGTACATGCGGCAATGTTTGAGTAATTGGGCATGATGGAACATCCCCATTCTGCAGATAATGTTCAGTCTCCTTTACAAATAGGGGTCCTCTTTATGTTGTTTCCTGAAGCTGGAGATTTAGCCAACAGCTCTGCTCTCTCACTTTTTTCTCTTCAGAATGCAAAGCATTGAACGCATCCTTCAGTCATCACTACCACCATATAGACACCCAAAACGTCATCAAGCATGTTGTGATAGGTGTCACTGTGTCCTGTAAGGTCTAACTTCGTGTGTACCATTCTGATTCCATTAACATCTTAACTGCAGCATTATGAAGACCTACAACCCTCTGAGAAGTGAGGCATTCTTACATGCTTTCTCTCTCTTTTGTGCCTCTGTGTGGTTTGCAGGTGTAGTGCATGTTGCAGAATAGCACTATACAAAATTGTGAACATTTTGATCATTCAAAAATTATCTTTTGAAAAGCAAGTCTCCAACTTGTATTTTTTGGCATTGTCCTTCATGCTGGAGAGATTACATTTTTGGCTTGCACTGTAAATAATAAAGGTAATGCATTATGAAATAGAAATCAGAAAGAAACAGCTGATACTTCTAGACATCAAATTACATCACATCATTTGGCAAACTTTGGCAAGCCTGTTTTGATTGAACAGAAAGATTGTGCTGCTTGAGAATCACAAAGTGGTGGAAAGACAAGAAAATAAACAAAGTAAGACATATCGACTTACCCTGACCCTTGTGGAAAAAAAGTGCAATCTTAGTTTCTAGCTTTTCAGCAGTAACCCAGAAGCTCAACGCAAGTCTCTTGCTGTTTTTCTCACCCACTCAGAAACCCCCACAAAGCACGATGCCTACAAGCTGGTCCAGACTGGCTTCTACTCTGCTGCATGATGAGAGCACAGTGTCTCCTGCCAAGGGTTTAACCAAATCAAGCTCCTGCCAGTGTCATCTATGTCTTCATAATCACAACTATTAATGTCTTGATTAAACTAGAATACTAACGCACCCCAAGACTAGGAAGTAAGCATGGCCAACTCCTATCTATATATCATCCTAAACTTGGGATCCTCCTCTATGTGCCAAAATACTGTTATGTATGTAGTATTTTGGGGTCTCAATAATGCATTGATTCTGACTACAAAAAAGAGAAATGACAACAACAACAACAACATTATAATTGCACAGTCATTTGGGGGGCTGGGGTGAAGGTTAGGTTTAACGGTGAAGAGTCTCAGAAATGGCACCCTGATGGGGAGCGACTATGATTGGTCATTATGGCGAAGGAACAGACACCTCCAGAAGCCGGTTATTTTTACGCTTGCAGGTGACGCTGTTGCCGTTTTTGGGCCCAGCCTGAATGAATTTGACACACACTTTGTCCTGTTTGAACTGTACAAGGAATCTGCAAAAAAAGGAAGGTACAAAAATACAGCATTATGTCCTGCTCATTGTATAACACATGCTAAAAAAACTGGGAGAATGGTGGACACTTACTCATCTGAGATGTCAACACTGATTGGTTCCCTGTCAGCTGAAGCTGCTCCTGTGCGGTGAAGTTTGGTGATGATCTCTATTAATCGGTCACTGCTCAGCAAGAAGTCGCCTTTGGCTGCTGATGGAGTGCCCTACAGAGAGAGTGTTACAGTACTAATAGTAAAACAAAGGCAGTGGTCATACGGAAATGACTGTTTGAAATGTATTCTTGTTCTCAATGTCAGCAAAACTACACAATGCATTCTTGTCTGCTTATTGTTTATTTTGGTTTCTGTAATGAAACGAAATAGCACTGTGTCACTGTTTGTGAGACTAAATGATTAGTCAGGTGCTTGCCTCTTTGAGCTTGAGAGCAAAGAAGCCGTCATTCTGAGTGCTGACGGAGACACTGCTGAGATCAGGCAGCGGTACGCTGGCCTTCACTTGTCCCGTCTTCTGATCAGCCAGAACAAAGTTTTTCTTGGTGAGGAGGAAGATTCTGGAAGCCCCCTAAAATGAAAGTAGTAATACATGGTTATTTAGGCCTTGGAAATTTTGGAGCTGTTTAAGATGATTACATGTATACATTATGTCTTACTGAGAGGGACATCCCACTTCTTTGTGTTGCTCACCTTGCCATTGGCCCTGTTGATTTTATTGACCACATCTGCTAGAAGCACCTTTTCATCTACCACACTGTTCAGCTTCTGGTACTTAGGGTTCTTATTAATCTCCAGATAATCTCCTTTGAAAGGCTGACCCACACTGTGGAGCAAAGGAGATTCACCTTGTAGTGAACATCTATATAAACATGTTGCACACGGCTCACTTTTTTAACCCTTGATGACACATTCATTTATGCTAAAGAATGAATAAATTCTTATTATACCTGCTGGGGTACAGAGCCTTCTTGTCTTTGAAGATTTCACTTGCTTCCAGTTTCTCCTCATAGATGGCCTTCTTCTCTTCTGTGAACTGGCTCCTGTATTTCTTGCACTGGTTTTAATTGGGTAACATTCAAAAAATTATTAGACCAATGTTTTGTAAAGGTTGAGGAATGAACGAATGCATTATTGATTTATTTTAAAAACTGACCCTCCATAGGTGGAAGATTTTCCTGAGCTCTTGATGTGTGCCCTCCAGGAACAGGTAAGGCCTAGCTGGCCAGCTCTTATCAATGGGTGACATTGAAGGCATCGTGTTCTTCAAGCCTAAGAAGTACTTCTGCATCTGTATAAAACATATGCAAAAGCAACTTTATGTGAGAGCTTTCTCAATAATAATTTGTCACAGTGGTAACAAAACCTTGTTTCTCCGAAATGACAACTTGAGACATGAGAAGGGCAAAATGTTAAAGTTTTAATCCAAGTTATTTGTAACAAGATTTTCAAGTACTTTTTGACCATGTCTATAAAGGCCATCATCCAATCAGCTACTTGTTTAAAAAAAAAAAAATCACTGGTTATAAGCAGGCTCTGTAATTGGTTTAAACCTTTCACTGTGAAAATACCACATCACATTAGTCACTCTAAATGCGCAGAATTATTTTAAGTAACTTACAATTCTCTGGATGGTGAATTCATAGATCTTCTTGCCAGCATTTGCTCTAAAGAACTTTCTGTATTCCCTGCGGACCTGAAAAGGAAGAAGAGCCAGTCTATCACCTGTAGCCATGACAGTTTCTTGAAAACATTATAGTGTTAAAACCCTGTATAGTGTTTCCAGCACTTGCTCATTCACTACTGTTTTTAAAGTATGATTTTGTGTACAGGGAATCAAAATTGTTATTCATGGTAAACAACCAAATGCTATACATGCAGAAGCTACAGAATAGGTTGAAAAATAGTTGAGTATTCATTTAATGATATGTTTGTGCTATGATCCTTTCAGGAAACTCAGTCATTCTGAAATGTTAATTTTATAACAGATATACACAACATTATAATGGAAGACAGATAGTTAGTAACAAACAGGGACCTACATTTACAATAAAAAAAACAGGTGATGATACTTCACACTTCAAAAACGAGGAAAATGTAAGGACAACTTTAAGTGTTTTATGTTTATCAAATTATCAATCTGTGAGTAAACTGTTAATAAGACAAACACTAAGAACACAAAGACAGTAATATCCTCTCTCAGTAAGGCATCCAACATCTCCACCTGCAAGACTGATAGTGCTGCTGAAACAAAACATCATCACACAAACAACACAAAACAGCAGTCAGATGTAAAATTAATGCTAAAAAGCAAGATGTGGTGAGTTAGTTGGCGTAGCATGCACACACAGGCCAGGTGGAACAATTATATAGAGACACATACAAGCAAGCAGATGGACAGACAGGCAGGAAGGCATCCAGGCAGCCTCTGTGGTGTCAGTAAAGGTCATAGTTTTTGAACTTTCAGCAGAAAAAAATACAGACTTTGGGAATGAAGAGGGAGAAAAGCATCTGCCTTTCAATTACCCAGAGGTAGCTTATCTAAAGCCCTGGATTATGAAAGCAGATTTGACTCTGCTTTATAGAGCGTGGCTGATCGTCCACTCTCATGGCACGTATCTAAAATTTTGCCTTAGCTTCAAAATGCTGGGCATCAACCCCAAGGCTCAGACTGCATATTATACACTATACAATATACTTTATGTAAAGTATTGTATATTAGGGATGTGTTGATATAGGATTTCTGGACTAATAATAATAATTAACACCTTGTTGTGGATAATAATAATAATAACAATAATAATAACAATAACACCTTTTTTGCATTTTAAAGTTCACACTGTAATCCGTAGATGAAAAGCACTGATTGATTTTACATAGCCATTATATAGCTGAATCAGTCGTCATTACATTATTTTATTTTAAGTAAATCTTTCATTATTTAACAGGCATTTTTAAGAAACGATGGTGGGTGAATGTAATGTTAGGAATCTTGCCCACTATGCTATCCATTTGAGTGAGGTACAAAGAATGGAATGGCCAGCAGTACTGACTACACATGCATGTGCAAGTAAAAATAGAACTTTAAAAATGATTGATTACAATTATCGGCTGTACTTCCAATATCAGATTGATAATAATTTAACCTTTCCTTTTATTGGTGAGTAATATAATCGGCCATGAACATGGCTCTGCACTTGAGGCTAGTGAGTCATCACCTGATAGTGACACCTTGAGGCTGGCTGTTAGTGTGTGTGTTTTTTCGTTCAGGATGGGACAGGGCCAATGTGCTAGATGGCAGGTACCTTGAGTCCCAACCAGTAGGCCCAAATGACGGCGACGGCGTGCTTACGCCTGGCTTCCTCCTTCAGCCGTTTTAGCTCTCTGCGTGCCTGTGAGAGAAGGAGGGAGAGGGGCAAGGAATGCAGAAAAGAGTGTAGCTGTTGAAAACAAAGTAGAGCTGTACGAAGAGGAGGCTCATAACCAGCCTAGAGCAAGAGCAAACAGGTGGGCACACGTCACACAAAGCTAGACTGCATTTCCCATTACCAGGACTGTCAGAAGGTGACAGACAAGAATGTTCCTTGGTCGGCTGTTGGTTCTGAATGCGTTTACTTCATTGCACACAAGGACTGCACAATATATCTTTGGTACAATATTAACATAATACTGACCTTTGCAATATTGAGCTCACAGAAGGCAGCAATATGCAAATAAGCCCTCTAAAAATTATTTTATGTTATTTGCATTATTATATACACCAATCAGGCATAACATTATGACCACCTCCTTGTTTCTACGCTCATTGTCCATTTTATCAGCTCGACTTACTATATAGGTGGCACTTTGAAGTTCTACAACTACAGACTGTAGTCCATCTGTTTCTCTGCATATTTTGTTAGCCCCCTTTTACCCTGTTCTTCAGTGGTCAGGACCTCCATGGACCCTCACAGAGCAGGTACTATTTGGGTGGTGGCTCATTCTCAGCACTGCAGTAACACTGACGTGGTGGTGGTGTGTTAGTGTGTGTTGTGCTGGTACGAGTGGATCAGGCACAGCAGTGCTGCTGGAGTTTTTGAACACTGTGTCCACTCACTGTCCACTCTATTAGACACTCCTACCTTGTCAGTCCACCTTGTAGATGTAAAATCAGAGACGATAGCTCATCTGCTGCTGCACAGTTTGTGTTGGTCATCCTCTAGTCCTTCATCAGTGGTCATAGGACGCTGCCCACAGGATGCTGTTGGCTGGATATTTTTGGTTGGTGGACTATTCTCAGTCCAGCAGTGACACTGAGGTGTTTAAAAACTCCAGCAGCACTGCTGTGTCTGATCCACACAGACCAGCGCAACACACACTAGCACACCACCACCACCACATCAGTGTTACTGCAGTGCTGAGAATGATCCACCACCCAAATAGTACCTGCTCTGTGAGGGTCCATGGGGGTCCTGACCACTGAAGAACAGGGTAAAAGGGGGCTAACAAAATATGCAGAGAAACAGATGGACTACAGTCTGTAATTGTAGAACTACAAAGTGCACCTATATAGAAAGTGAAGCTGATAAAATGGACAATGAGCATAGAAACAAGGAGGAGGTCATGTTATGCCTGATCGGTGTAATACTTTTCTTTTAATGTCATATCAATGTCTTATCATGACTTCACCTATGTTTATGTACTGCATGACATAACAATTGCAATATTAGCAATATATTCGCAGTATGGTATTTTGTCCATATCATGCAACACTAAAGCACACAATGCTAAAATCTTTCAAAGCACGCAATTTCTCCTCAGTAGACCGAGGAGGTGCCTATAATAGAAATACACACACAAACTCAGCAACACAAACCACCTCAAATCAACAAGGCACTCAGCAGAACAAAACAAGGCCACTTAAAAAAACAAGACGCAAGCAGATCATGCAGACAGAGGTTGTGAATGATATGGAGTGGAGTGAAATGACACTTGGAATACACTAAAATGATCTTGATTCTCAAACACCTGATGCTTTGGCCTTGACCCAGTGCACTGGCTTGTAAAATAGGCCACTTTGGCCAGGGAGAGGTGCTTGCAGTAGTGCCAGCCTGCCGTGTGGGAATCGGCCTGCTGCCTGGGAGCCCGTCTGGATGAGCTTTAATCCATCGGCGGTCAGAGCAAAGAGGCTTAAGAGACTGGATCCTGACCCACCCCCACCATCCTCACAAACCCACCACTGTGAGCTACTCACTCATATAACTTCATCTGAGCTAAAATGTACGTGCAGGTCATGCTCATGCTATGAGGTTTTAGCTATGGTCCCATGTTGTATCTCAGCTTGTATGGCAGATGGGATGGGTTCCAGGGCAGTGTGAGGGTGATGGTCCTCACAATCTCTGATGTATGCCAAGGTGTGAGACTGGATAAAGGTTAAAAGAAAGTCATGAAGGCGGGCCACCCATGCTGTGAATACCTTGGTTCCTTGCCAGCCAGCCCATATGATGGACACGGCGTGTTTACTCCGTGCCACATGCTTTAAGCGTCGCAGTTCTCTCCGAGCCTTGGTTAGATGATATTTAATACATTTCAGAGGAGAAGTGAAGAAGCATTAAGAATACAAGTTAGAGACACAGGTCAGACAAGTCTGATTGATAAGAGGGAGAAGATTTAAGGAGACGGACCAAAAGACTTGTCATGCAAAGTGCCATGTCATGCAATTTGCTGTACAAACTCTTTGAGCTGCTTCTCTATTTATGATACATCCTGAATACAGTATGGGGTAAATGTGGACCACCTTTCATTTATTTAATTTCCAGTCAAAACAGCCATTACATACAAGTTGCTCATTTTTCAGAGGATATTTCAGAGATCAGAATATGATAATCCACAGTTTTGGAAACTTAACAGCTAAACTTATAAAAAGTTACAAAGAAAAGGAAAAATCAAACAAAGAATCTGCAAATTGGTGTTCTCCAGACCTCAACATCACTGAATGTGACTGGGGTTACTTGGATCGTAAGAAGGAGAAAATGCAACCAACTTCTAAAACTGAACTTTTGGAAGTATGGAAAAATATCCCTGCATATTTCTTTAAAAAAACTTTTTTTCAGATGCTGAAAAATGAATAACAGCTGTTTTAACTAGAAATTAAATAAATGAAGCGTGGTCTCTGAACATATATAGAAATAATAAATGACAACAAGAAGCTTTGAATGTAACTGAATTCAATTATCACTGAACTGTAAAGCTAAGCTTCAGCTTCTCTAATCATAATGACAATACATGATCATCCTTGCATGATACTGCAAGACAAATCGACCATAAAACTTTTCTGATGCTTATCTGGAAACAGTAATGCCAGAGATAACGTTGCTGAAACTAACAATGATGCCCTTGTTCATCTGTGAGGTTCTTGGACTTATTCTGTTTTGTCTACGACATGAATGCAGGCACCAGCTGTGTGTTTAGAATTCTGTTAGAGGACGCTGCTCAGGAGCAAAGAAAAAAAAGGGCATAAAGAGATTCTCAATTCTTAATACATAATGATTCACTGTCATATAGTAAGCACTTTGCATTCAGTTCGCATCATGATGTCATGGTACTGTGAAATTTCACATATATATATATATATATATATAGTATAAAAAAAATAAAAATAAAAATGTTAGTATGTTTCCAGGATCCAAACCCAAATGCTACCTATAAACAAGCAATACAAAATTAGTTGCATCCAGCTACAGGAAGTTAGTGGATGACTGGACAACACAGTTTTTCACTGGTTGAGTGCTGGGGAGACAGAGGGTCTGACTATCTGGGGGAAAACATGGTGGCAGGCTGGTTAAATACCTTAGTTCCCTGCCACGCTGCCCAAATGACAGACACAGCATGTTTATTCCGAGCCGCCTCCTTTAGACGCCGCAGTTCCCAGCGAGCCTGCAGAGGTTAGCCGAGAAGATCAGGCAGTGGCAGACAAAGGATAAGACAGTACAGAAAGGACAGAGTGAAAGTAACAGTGACAACAGCAGCCCTGAGACAAGCAATAGAGAGTGAACAATGAGCAAAAGCAGTGGCGCTGTTCTCTAAACCAACTGTGTGGAGCCTTGGCAAAAGCCAGAGGAGTCTGGACATCTTGACCTGAAAAGTTACACTCCAACCTGAAATGGCAACTGGCTGTTTGTTTCCTTTTGTGATTGATTATATTGCAAATGGGAGGGCAGAAGAACCAGTACCTGTGTTCCATGCCAGTAGGCTGCAATAGTGGTCACGGCCTCTTTGCATCTCTTTTGGTATTTCAGTTCACGCAGGATTTTACGGGCCTGAAGGAAGAACAGAACAGAAGAATAAGACAACAGGAGCTATGGCACAATCCTAAGAGCCACAGTGCCCATAAATGACCAAAGAGATCAAAGAGCAACCAGAGCGCAGTTTCAGCTTTACAGTGCCCACAAATGACAGAGGAGAAGCATCAAGGGTTCTTTACCAGCTTTAGACCTACCTTCCATCCTCTGATGAATGACTGAACCACGATGGAGGAGCTCTTGATCTTCTGGTACTTCCGTTGTTGCTGCAATCAAAAACAAACAAAAAAAAAGAACAGAGCTAAAAGGCCTATCAGTGCATTTGAAGAGCTGGTTACCAACCAGATCTCAGAAAGTATTATATGTACAGCATTGTGCAAACGTTGGAGACCACCCATCATTTCCAGTCTGCCATTAAGTATAAGTTATTCATATGTCCACCATTTGCTTTTATTACAGCTTCCATTTTTTAAGGAGACTAGCTTTCAGTTTTTCAAAGAAATCTGCAAGGTCTTTTTTTTACACATCTTGAGTTGGACAATCTTAGAAGCTGGTTATATTTTCTGCTTCTCGCAATTCAAGTAATCCCAAACACGTTCAGTGATATAGAGAACATCAGCTCCTTCCTTTGTTTGATTTGCAAACTTTTTTTTGCCCATTTTTGCTCTTTTTGTCCATTTCCTTTTCTCAGTAGCTGATTTTTGACAGCTTTCAGACTCAGTGTTGAGCTGTCTTCTCACAGTGGAAGGATGGACAGAAACATCAGTGGATTTTTTCAGCTCTGAAGCAAGAGTGGAGCTTAATTTTCTCACTTCCCTGAAAACTTTACGTACTGTTTATCTGATGGAGACAGTTTTGATGGTCTACTAGGTCTTGCACAGTTGTAAGGAGTCCCATTTTCTCTATATTATCTAATCATATTTTAAACTCCAGTTTTGGAAACTGTCATTTTATCACTTATATTCCATTGACTTTCTCCTTCCTTATGCAAGCAGATTAAAATATCCCTGAGGGAATAATATGATATTTCCTCAGAAATATCAACTGAAAAATTAATAACACATGCTAATTAGGTGCTTTGACTGGAAATTAAATAAATTAAGGTCTCTGACTTCTGCACAGTACTGTAGAAAAAACTGAAATTTAAAATGCTGTTTATGAAACAACATATTTACCAATAATTCAGACAAAAGAGTATAACAGAAGGAGATTTTCACATAGAAAGAGGCTAAACTTACAGCATATCTGCGGAACCAGGCAGCCACCACCACCTGGCTCTTCTTCAACAAGAGGAAATGTGTGCGGCACTTCCAGCCACGGTAGATCTTCTGGATGAGCGTGGCCAAGTCCTCCAGACACTGTCTTCTCTTCTCCTCCAGGAAAAATAGCTGAGAGGAACCAGAACCATAGTATGAACAACAAATGACAACAGAGAAACAATAAAATAAAATAAGAGATCATCAAGGTCTTACTAAAGAAGAGTATGAGTAAGACTATTTAGAGGTATAACCTGAAGCTAAATGATTTATTAATGGTACAACAAAAAACATACCATGAGAAACATGATTCATCACTATTAAAGAATAATAGGATCTAGAATAGACTGGAAATGTATCTGTGACCTCATAGTTACATCCTTTTTATATCATATTCACTGAAGGATATTATTGGTGACAACTGCCAAGACTAACAACAAACATCATAAATCTAGCCAGACTGCAACCAGCGTCTTCTATGATTGGACCAATATTGACAATAGCTGCCAAGTCTACCCTACCCCTAGCAACCACGTCTAGCAGATAGCTAAATAAAACTGTTTTCTCAGACAGAGCCCAAGCTAGGGGCCAGGACTGGGACTCCACTGAGAGCCAAGGGAGCCTGAATAAGATCCCACGCTGATAGAGCTTTGATTGGACAGCTGGAGATCGAGATTACAGAGGTGGAATGTACATGGATAAGATGAAACACCCAGGGCTTTTTTAGCCATCCATGATCTTAAAGCTTCAGGAGAGAGAAATCCATGTAAGAGGGAACTTCTCCTTCACTCCTTTAGAGCTCCTCGGCTACAATCTGTTTTCCCATGCAAACTGACAAACAGAGGAATGTATAAGTGAAACCATGTGTTTGACTGCCTGTTTTTTCTGTGCTTTTTTTTTTTGGAGGGGGTTGATAATTATATTAGAGCAGCTCAGAGGAGTGCAACTTACTGCTTGGAAACCTTTTTGAAACTAAATGTTTCTTATATTATAAGAATTCTTATATTAGCCTTTCACGTGTTGTCTTATCAAGTCTTCCAAATCCATGCTGTCTGCCGATTCTGGAAATGTACATGTGCCAGATCATACTTATAAAGCTTATTTATAGATGTGTTTTAGCTTTAAACTTCACAGCCATGTCCAAGTATTTCATTTCTGTGAAGCCACATGTCTTTATGTCTGTTCAACATTTTATAAAGAGCGTAACGCTACTCACCGTTCTGGGATTTCTGATGAAGATTTTGGAGCGTCCGTAGGAGAACTCGTCTTCTGGAACCTCTAAGTCCTTCAGGAGAACCTCCACACCTTCCCTGTATTTGCACAAACCGGCATGCTCTTAGCACCACACAAGGTCACACAATCATTACTTAATGCTACTGAACAACTTACTAACTGATTAGAGCAAGGGTTCCCAACTTTTCAAGATTTTTCACTCATTGCAAAAACCTGTGTTGGTTACATCAGGATGTCATTTTGCCAGACCAATCACTGAGCTTCACTTAAATATTTAGGCATTTTTGATGTTTTTTTTTTTTTTGCAAATAATTATCACAACAATAATACTGGACATTTTAAAATTAGCTATCCAGATATTGTAATGAAGTTTTGTGGTAATAAATACATACATAAATATATAAACAAACTGCCAAATAAAAAAAATAGACCGCCGACAGCCTCCTAGCAGTATTACCATAGCTCACCGGTTAAAAACCACTGGATTAAAGAATATCGAATTACACTGACTCCAACGTGATTACAATATCAGCAACAGACAAAGCAATAAACCAACCAAGGAGAATGTAGTATGATTTGGCAGACAAAAAACATAGTATTGTAAAAGATATCAATCAGTGTCTGTCTCAGTCTTGAGCACAATGGTGACAGCACACTCTTTACAGATAACAGAACTGCTTAAACTTTGATATGATTCAGAAAGTTATTTGTCTATGAAGTATGAATCACTATCTAGGGATGACATAGTGCATGTGGGTGAATTTTGTCCCAACATGTTTGTTATCGGATACAGCTGTATTCTAAAGAGCCTAGCCTGTGGATAGGGCCTGTCAAATAGTTGCCCTAGATAAGCAGAATAACCAAACCAGACATGTTGACATAACTGTCTACCTGCAGGATACTGTGGGAATTTTCCCCAAACAAGACATGGCAAGTTTAGGTCATTCGAGCAGGAAAATAATAAAGAAAAAAAATGTTGAACTCATAAACTGAGGTTAAACACCTGACAGCGTTGTGAGGGATTATGTGTTGAAGTCAGGTAAGATGCACTCGGAGTGGCAGTGTGCTTTGGCCACAACATAGAAAACGTAAAAACCGCATTTACAGTTTGCGGTCTCACCTCGCAGGACCCTTCCAGTGGGGCCAGGTCTGCTTGCAGAGCATCTTGTAACGCTCCAGGCAAGGTTCGTATGGCTGCCGGAAGGCGTAACCCGCTCGCCTCACACGCACATTCTCCATCAGACCCAGGTAGCGCACCTGGTGGCATACCAATGAATCTGTGAAGACTTGGGCTGCCTTCTTGTCATTGGGCTTGATGCATCTGGGAACAGAGATGCACAGACATAAGAACAAACAAGATTACTGATTGACTTTGCTTATTACAGAAATCTGCATCTGTATCTGCTGCATCTGTAGCATATGTTTGATTACAACAGACAATGGTACGTTTACCTATATATAGTAAAAGAACAGAAAAAGCTTTAGCACCCACAGGTGTCTATTACAAGTGTATGTGAACAGGGTTTTTATTTCTTTTTCTAAGCACAGGAAAACAAACTGAAATCACTGAGTTGAATGTATGCTCCAGAGGCAGCAGATAGAGATTAAGATAAAAAACACTGCAATATTATTTCAATGTATCTACACCTCAAGTCTTTTTAGTTCAAGCCCCTTTCGTGTTAAAGGCTAGACTGTTAGCATCCTCACCTTATGTAGTTGGGGTTCTTGGTCAGTAGGTTTTTCATGAGCGTGCCTACTGAGGCTCTGAACTGAAAGCCAGCTGTAGGGGGCCTCTTCAGGTTGACCTTGGCAGGGTTACCCTCTGGGAAAAGCAGTTTCATGAGGCTGTGGTTGGCCTTGTACATAGCCTGGGACAGGTCTCTGTACAGCAGGTCATTGTTTTTGTCTACGAAACCCTCTACCCGATACAGCACCTATATGGGGAGCAAATTACAGAGAATTTCTCAGGCTTTGGTTTTCATCCATGAACACATTTGTGGTTTTGGTTGGACTGATTTACGTCCAGTGTTTCCAGTTCCCTAGAGAGATTAAAGAGTTCCTAAAGCTGATTCATGGGGATTCTAAGCTGCCTTCTATAAATAAATCTGTTGTGTTATTGTAATTGTTTTCATTACTGTAATGGGGAGGCACACAATGCATCTCTGATGCTGCACTTTATAAAATTACAGTTGTGCAACTGTTTTCCAAGGAGGCAGTAAGCTATTAATCGTATGACTCAAATTATTTCCCAAGCTGGGCAGCACAGCATGAGCTTTTGATTTAGAAACTAAAGCACTGTTTGCATTATGTGACAGCTGTTGCATTTTTTGTGCATGTATGGTATACAGATGGTCCAACCTTGCCAGCATAGTGCTGGATGCGGAAGCAGTTGTGAGGCAGGCTGTGGTCAGTGAGGAACTTTGAGTTTTTGCTCAACCGGCTCTCAAAGTGCTGGTGTTCAGCACAGACTGTGTTCAGCTTGTCCAGGAAGGTCTCGTCTGTTACCGTGCCTGGCCGCAGACACTCCTCATCAAGCATGGCCAAGATACCGTTCTGGTTCTGAAGGAAAATAGATTGTAATACTATTAAAACACAGCTGACTTTGCATAATGAAATGAAGTGACTAGCACTAAGCATTTATACAACATGATTAAAATGACATCACTTACATTTTCAATAAGATCGCAGATAATGGCATTGTTGAAATACTCAATGTTGGTCCATTCAATGCCCTACAAGAAAACAGAATCAGGGTCAAGATTTTTGTTTTTCTCTGCACTTTGCTGTGTTCAAATACTCTAGTCTAATCTTACAGAGTTCACACACAAACTTGAGAGGTTTAAAGGAATAATCCAGATGAGCTTTTTATACTTGGCCAGCTAAACGGGCACACCAGGTATCTACAAAGATGCCAAGAGCTGCGGGCCAAGAAATAGATGAGATGATGTTTTGGTCAATTGAACCAAACAAGGGTATCATCTGCCAGGCTTCAGTAACAAGTACAACCCACAACATGGGTCCATGGTAAACGTAATGAGCTGGAAAATTGCTCTAGGCTAACTGGGCTATGTGAACAGCTTTTGGAGGAGGGGATGAGTGTGAGTGGGAGGCCATGTGGTGGAAGAGGAATCTACACTATGGATTGGGTAGACTGCTCCCCAGATCCCTGTGTTCTTCCCCAGTCTCCAGAACAGTGGTATTTTCCCATGCACTGGGCTGGAGCCGGGCCAGAGAGTGGAATATCACAGCGTGGAGGTCACGGCTGCGTTAGGGCACATACTCAGAGCTCTGAAAGCAAACAGAGCCGTGAGCCCTAAGGGACAAGCATGTTTACCCTTACTGCAGTGAGGGATCACTTCCGTCCCCAGACTCGCAGAGCAGGAGAGAGCAGGGGGACAGAGCGAAAAGCAGATAGGAGGATGAAACGATTTTCAGATTAACTTCATCTTCAGTTAATAAACTCCTGGCATAGAGTAAAGCTACTTAGTGAAAGTGGTTTATAGTTGCATCATACAAGCAAGCTCACATATGTTCTCTCACATAAGTTTAGTTGCCAGTATAGTAAAAGTGGTCGAATGTGTAAACAATTATGGCAAATAAGATGAACTTTCCAGTGCTCATCAAAAGTTTGGGGACAGTTTTCGTCCATATTCGCCCATGTTGTGTATAATTTTCACTGTTACTTTTCAGTGACATAATGGCACATAGTGACAATCTTCCACACAGAAACACAGACTGTACCTACACTCATTATTCAGTTTATCAGGTTCACTTAACATATAGGTACAGTTTGCAGTTTTAAAAATACAGAGTGTATTTCATCTGTTCTATTACATATTTTGTTAGCCCCCTTTCACTGCCCTTCAATGATCAGGACCCCCACAGACCTACCACAGAGCAGGTATTATTTGGGTGGTGGATCGTTCAGCACTGCAGTGACACTGAGATGGCAGTGACATGTTAGTGTGTGTTGCACTGGTACAAATGGATCAAACACAGCAGTGCTGCTGGAGGTTTTAAACACTGTCTACTTATTGTCCACTCTATTAGACACGCCTACCCTGTTGGTCGACCTTGTAGATCAGAATCAGAGACAATAGCTCATATGTTGCTGTACAGTTTATGCAGTTTAGTCATGCTCTTGTCCTGCATCAATGGTCACAGGATGCTGCCCACAGGATGCTATTAGCTGGATATCTATTCTCAGGCCAGCTGAGGTGTTTAAAAACTCCAGCAGCACTGCTGTGTCTGATCCACTTGCACAATCGCAAAAAACACTAACTCACCACCACCAGGTCAGTGTCACTGGAGTGCTGAGAAGGACCTACCACCCAAATAATACCTGCTCTGTGGTGGTCCTGTGAGGGTCCTGACCACTGAAGAACACTAAGAAATTAAGCAGAGAAACAGATGGACTACAGTCTGCAATTGTAGAACTACAAAGTGCACCTATATAGCAAGTGGAGACCTCAGAAATTGGACACTGAAGTGGCCACACCTTTTATTCATTGAATTCAGGGGTTTACAAACATTTGTGAAAGAATGGGTCATTCTAAAGAGCTCACTGAATTCAAGCATGGTGCTGTAACAGGACGCCACCATTGTAACAAGTCAGTTTGCGAAATCTCTTCCCTCCTAGATATTCCACAATCGACTGTGAGTGGTATTATTGAAAAGTGGAAGCATTTAGGAACCACGTGTGTGTGTGTGTATATATATATATATATATATATATATATATATATGTGTTAGGGGTGCAGGAAAAAATCAATTCTTAGATGCATCGCGATGTGGACGTGAACGATTCTGAATCGATTCACAAACGTCAAAAATCGATTTTCTAAATATTTAATTTATAACGTAATGTTGACGGAACGCAAAAGGCGGATCCTGGAAGTGCGGAAGTGCAGCGCCCGGACAGTCTGTGGTGGCACATAACAAAAACACACATGGATGAGCGAGAAATCCGACCGGCTCCCTCTGCGTTAAAAGCCAGGTTAGGTCAGGAGTCACAAGCCAAATGATAAGAAGAGCCATTTTGTCCTTTCAACAAAAATCAAACCACCTTGGGAGCCGCAACATTTAATGTCCAGTATGTGTCAGTGTGTGATAATGTCCTAGTATAGGCTAAACAATATAAACGAAAACGCAGATTTACTTCGCTCTGCTTTAAGCTTCAGCTGTAGCCGCTTTCCTCCCATCTCCGCCAGAAAACTTTTCCTCAGAAGTTGATCAGTTAAATGTCTCAACGTTCGACTGTTTTACGAGGCTGAAGTTGCTTCTTATTCTCCAGCTTCTTGTTCGAATTTCCCCGTTCCACCTTAAATTCTAACGGAGGCGCCGAATGTAAATGCGGCACCATTTAAGGTGGAACGGGAGAATTCGAAAGAGAAGCGACTTCAGCTTCGCCACTTTTTACTGTTTGACAGTCTCTCGTTGCAGATTTAACGTACCAGGAAACCAACTGCACTGCTTATAAATGCGAATAACGCATCGCTGCTGTGTGACCTGCAGTCTGCACGCCGGGTTCTCAGTCGTTGCGAAACAGGGCTTTCACGCTATGTTGCACACGACCCGTCTCAAAGATACTTTACTGACACAGCGACCCCCCCATCGTCTCTACAACGAGACCAAAACCGAAGTTATAAAGTCACTAAAGAAAACGGGTAGAATAGCTGGAACATGTGCTGCGTGGAGATCCACTGACACTGGATCTTATTTCACCGTAACTGCGCATTTTACCGCAGATGAGTGGCAGCAGCATCTCATGTGCTCCAAAGGCAGTGAATGAGAGCCTTCTAGTTCACTTGCCACATCACTTCCATTTGATTTATTAATAAACGATATTGGAAGTAAATTCATTATGGATCATTACAAATACTTTGCTTTAAAACTACCAAGTCACTTAAATAACAATAACACAGAGATACTTAGTCACTTTAAAATGTATATTGTCTCTATATTCTGTGTATATTTTGTGTATATTTAATATATTTCAGTTGGTTTTTCTTGTATTTTTATTTTTACTTATTTACTTTCTGTAGAGTGATTAGCTGATCCTCACCACAAGCATTTCAAAGCATAAATGTCCTGACATGTGCAAGTGACAAATAAACTTGAAACTTGAACTCGAAACGTGAGCTCACAGAGTGAGAAAATATAAATGCTATATAGACAAAAGAGATGCATCGATAATCGTTTTATAATCGCATCGCATATACACACATACACACACACATACACACACACACACACACACACACACACACACACACACACACACAGAGCGAGAGCGAGAGACAAAGAGAGAGTCCGGACTACATTTTATAAATGTGGCTGTAACAGCGGTGAGCGATATGCAAATGAAAAATATTGGATACTGGCATCAGCCCACAATTTCCATGTCAATGCATTTCTATCAGATATCGTTTGTTAGGCTTTATTAAGATGAAAGGCACCAAAAATAGTGTCTCACCTCACGCACATACTCCTCCTGCTCCTCACGCAGCGTGAGCTCAATGAAGATCTGCTGAAGCTTCTCATTGCAGTAGTTGATGATGAACTGCTCAAAGCTGTTGTCCTGTGGGATCAATCAGACACGCTGTAAGGCTTATAATCTAAGCAGCATGTTTACTGGGAAAATTCTGATGTACACAGCAACCAAAGCTCTAAGCACAGCAAACTTCCTAGGGCTACCAAGCAATGCGCTCCTGCAACCTACTTGCATCATTTATCTTATATTTCTTTTCTATTACTGTACATTAGTAATAAAATCCTCTTTTAGGGCCCTTAAGCCAAAATTATTCCCCTATACTGAATTATAGCATGTACCAATTAACTACAATAATTAACGCTTTATGTGTGTCAGATTTTCATTAGGGGAACTGTTCTTAATAATCAATTTTAATTGCTATCCTTGGTTCAGACAGTGATATGGAAATTAACCACCCAAACAGCTCAATACTGACAAATCAACAGCAGTTAACAAGGCTCAAAGCAATGTTAGGTTAGTTCAATTTCTTATTTGCTTATGATGTTCAGGTTAGAGTTCTTACTGAAAGCGCATGAACTACAAGGGACTTCTCTACAGGGGTGATGAAAAATTGTGAGGATGAACACAAAGCAGAATATTTTCTCTTAATCTTCTGAGAGGCTTTTGTGTGTTCACCACTTCTATTCAGGAAAACCCCCTGTACACATGAATACCTTTGACCAAAAGCCACAGCAAACATCAGGACCACTGGTGTACCTTTAGTACCAGGAAGAAGCCCCAAAACACATCCAAAAGACAGCATATGGCACACTGGAAAGAACCAGCCATCTCTTTGTTGAACTTGGCACTGCCAGTTTTGACCTGGCATCCTTACAAAGAGGGCATACTGACACATCAGCCTGAAGCTGCAGTGTTCTGTGACTAATGAGGGCAAACAGAGAAAGGTGAAACCTTGTACAGTCACCTTAACAACTGTAACCCAGTAAAATCAGTCCAGGGCTAAATCAGCCATTCCCAGTAGCCCAACAATGTGAAAAACACTGCAACTCCTAGGCTAATGTTTCAGCAACTAAGAGCCTGAGGCACAACCTTACTAAAGCCAGTGATGCAACATCAGTTACATTAACAGTACTGATGTTGCTACCGCTGGGTGTAACGTTGCACATCGTGTCTGGCCATGCTGTACCATTGCTGTCTTAAATTGTAGAGCTAAAAGGGTTGAATTAGGACCAGCATTAAAAGCTATAATCGCAGCATGCACACTGCCACATCAGATGCTCAGAGGAGTACTTACTCCATCCTGTTGCCCCAGACACATCAACACAAACAACAATGACATTAAGGAGAAAGGAACACAGTCAGACAGCAGAGCAAATGCAATGAACAAATGCAAATAAACAATGGTGAGCATATGAGTGAATATTACAGTTACACATCCAGAGTTAAGGAAAGCACAGTGCTGTCAAACTGCAGAGAGCAAGCAAACACAGATGTGGCTGTAGCTGTGTCATGTGACCCACGCATGTCATATGTGAACAGCTAAATGACATAACAGGCAAATGACGTTCTCCCAAATTGTTTTAATTCCAAAAATGCTAGATAGTATAACTGGAATTAAAATCATTTGAGGGAAAAATGTGTGTTGAATCTATGGATCAGTTAGGTGGAGAGAACATTCCATTTTGAACCTCATGCTGCTGTTTCTGCCAAATTATGTTTCCTTTAAAAAGGACCCATATCTAAAATGTATCTGTAATTTTAAATTTCCCCACTATATCCTCTCATGATGTTTACGTGGTTTTACGCACCAAAAACGATTAATTTTTACATACCCATTTTACAGTCTCTCTTTATCTTGTCAAATCACACAGGCTGTTTTTGCTACCGTGCCTTTAAGAGAGATATTGAAATGCTTCTGTTTTGATTGGCTTTCCTGTATTGGGCCTAACTCAAAAAGCAATCCAGGCTAAAACACTCCTTATAAACAGACTAAACTGCTGTAGGCTGAATACATATATATACGTAAATGCTTTGGTTTGCATGACATCAGAAAAACAATGAATTCAAAATGGGTTGTCATCACGGCTTAACTCCTTAACAAGCCATGGGCCTGTCGGCGGGCCCAAAGTTTTATTACACACTACTATAACCTAAAAACAGCTCCATTAGTTTGCACTACAGTCCCTGTAGTTACTGAATAATAAGCCTTTGTATAAAATAAACCTGGACTGTTAATAACTATACATGGATTGTATGGACTGTGGAGTAAACAGTGCATTTTGCAGTTCGTTTTAAATTCACTGTTTTTCATATTTTCATAGGCATATACATATTTACATAGGCATATTCAGCCTCCATCTGTTTAGTCCCACCAGTTTAGTCCTGTGACTCCAGTCTAAAGCAGTTTAGCCGCACTCAATCAGATTAAAACAATTCAGCTCCACTCACTCCGTCTACAGCTGATTACTTCAACCTATAAAAAGTCCCGAGCACTCCACCTATAGCTGTTTAGCCCCACCCATTCAGCCTACAGCCATGTAGCCACACCCATTCAGCCTATAGTTGTTAAAAAAACAAAACAAAAAAAAAGCCACCTCCTGAAGAGTCCTGCTAAAGGACTCTTTCAGCCTAAACTCTTTAAGAACAAGACACTATACAGGGCAGCTAGTCAGAAAGAAAACCATACATATCAGTCTTTATCAGTCACAGTAACAGAAACAGCCTATTTAAACGAAAAAGAGAGGATGGATAATGGTCATGTAAAATGACTTATGACTGCTTTTAGTATACAAACGGAATAACTGGACCTCAGGGAAAACATGAAATACAAGAAAAATGTAGCACATGGGCTTTTGCATGTTGGAGGCACTATACCTTAACTTGGCTGGATAATGTGTTGTGATGCAGAGCAGTCAGGAGACATATGAGATGCTTTAGAGTTTTTTTTTTTTTAAATATCTTTTACATCACATTTAATCAACTAGACAGGTCTAAGGAGTTTACTGCTCCTACTGTTCTCTCAACCATGAGCCAACAAGCCTGAACAGAAACAGCAGAATGATCACAGAGAGCTCAACACTTATTAAACTGGGGCTAGCAAGCAGCAGACTGCATAGAGATAAATCTTACCTCAAAAATCTCAAAACCATAAATATCCAGGACCCCCATCACTTTCTTCCGGGATTTGGTTTGAGCCTGAACATAAACAGTGACTATAAATTGTTGTATGGTGTCAAGAATTAATGGCATGAAAACAAAGAAGATTTTGATGAACATACCTTGATGCTTTCATTGATTCGAGTCACCAACCAACTGAACATGCGGCTGTATATGTTTTTGGCAAGTGCATCACGAGCATAATAGGCCTAGAATAAATAGAAAATTGAAATGATTTGCTTAGTCTTCACCCTCTGAAAGAAAAAAATATACATTCAATAAACATCTGCACTTTCAATTAGTGTGTCCAACTAACATCAACAAAACACTTCTCTTCTCAAAAAAGCCCCAAAAGGGTGCAGCCATGGCAAAATTAAATACTTCAAGTTTTAAGCTGGCGCTGAGCCATGAATGAGTAAAGTCTGTCATCTGTAAGGTCAACTTGGCAGAAGAACCCAGTCGAGAGGCTGAACTCTAGATGACACTAAGCAAGCAACACAGAGTGAAAACAACACTTGGCTGTCGTCACCGGAAACATCATGGGACCAGGTTTTGATTAAACGTCATGAACACATAGGTGAACATGTTGTGCTTAACACTGTTTCTGTCTTCAGTAAGGATAGGCCTATAATTTCTCTCTACCTCTCCTCTTTCCTGCTGTGTTTGGTTTAACTGGCCGGATGTTTGTGATAGGAGGGCTTGGCCTCCAGAGCGACGCCACAGCTCTGTGGAACGGCTCCTTGTGAAACCAAGTTTGCAATGAGGATGTTTCAAACCAGTGGCTATGAGACACGCCAATCATAACCACTCTGCTTCCCCTCCAAGTGGCCTTTCTGGAGCGACACACGGCCATTCTTTTGACATAAGTGTCATTTAAAGTTTGGGACTCCACGAGGTCCCAAATTCTGACCTACTTTCACAGTTGTAGCAGACGTCTCCTGCTCCATAATTGATAGGTCTTCATGTTGGGCAAAAAGAGCAGAGGGGGTAGTGAATGACATGTATTTACTATTTCAGAGGCGCAAGCACAGCTCTGGAATTTGTACGTGCATTTATGATGGAGCCATGTTGCTAAATATTTCAAGACACAAGATGAGGCTCTAAGTCTAAAAGAAAAAAATGCACTCCTACAGTCTCCTCTTCTAAGGTCATTCACCCGAGAAGAGATGGAGACAAAGATCACTGCCTCTGGGTGTAGCGTGAAAGCGAGAATGATAATGGATAGGAAAGAGAAATAAAGATAGAGTGGAATAAGAGATAGAGGAGGCCAACCTGAGCAACGTTGAGTGTGGTGGACACCTTCTCCATCTTAGCCTCCACAGTGCGGAAGCTGAAGGCTCTCTCCAGCACTGACTGCTCAATTCCCAAAAGTTCACACATCTCCTTTAGATCTGGAGCAGGAACATGCCAGAAGAGAGAGAAAAAAAAAACAAACACCAGTATGACGCTAGATGGAAAGGCAAACCATATTTTGGATGGAAAGACAAATCATAATAATGTTATATCTAAGGAAACAAAGCTTAAACGTTTTCAAAGTTCAGAATAACTTGAACAAATCAGTGCAGCCCATAAGATTTTTACAAAAGACTAAGTGAAACTAATATTTTCTGGTCATCTTTTACAGCAAAATGAATTTATGACCAGTTAAAAACTTATGCCCGGAAGGTGTGATTTCTACATGTTGAGGCCTTCAGGGAAGGTTAAACCAGACAGCACTTAAGTAGCCTCTCTGCTGGGTTTTTTGGCGGGTCTGGTCATGATTGGCCCTAAAACCCCTCCAACCAAAACACAAAGGCAATCTGCTGCATAGTAGCCTAAAGCAGGTATGTTAAAAGGGCATAGGAAAACACATTAACATTGCGAAATCAATCTTCCCCTATACTATCTACAGAAGTGTTGGTGTTGACACGTGTTGCAGTACTGGCAACTGCACTGAAAAAAAAAAAGTCATCAGAAAGAACAGCAAGTACTTAAGTGACTTGGGATGGGTAACATTCCTTACAAATGCCATCATAACTAACACCCAGATATAGTGTTAATGTGAATTAACATTTGTTTTGCTTTAACTTAAAATAGCTAGATTATCCAGGACACCTCTGCCCAACTATCTCAAAGACGCTGACGTATAGTCAGTTTGAAGAACAATGTGGTGTTCCACAAGGAACTACTTCCAATTGTAGTAATTACTGTCTAGTATGCATTAATGACCAACACAAACATCAATAGATGGCAGTAGAGTTCAACCAGGTGCGCAAACAGACACTCGCATGCACAAGACATAGTTCCAGTTATTTCACATTCACTACTATTATTCACATTACCCTCTCCAAGCAAATCTAAAATTTATCAGCAAATCTAATATTGATAAGAACAGGTTCTTTGCCTTTCTAGAAAAGCATAACACAGCAAGCGTGGTTCAGGTTGCTGGAGACTGCAAATAAAGAAATGTTATCTTATATGTTGCCGTATGCACCACTGAAAGGGGTGAATGAACGAGCTCATCTTTTTACTGGGTAAAAGTACTCACCGTTCTTGTCCTTGACCCGGCTCTCGTCGAAGCCATTGACGCGTGACTCGGGCTTGAACTCTATGTTGCCCAGCTTCAGTACAGCAGCCACCAACTCCAGCACTGACTGCACCTCATCCTCCATGAAGCCCACAATCTGCATGGCATTCTGAACACAGGGGAAAAGCTGTCAGTACAGTCTTGATGATGGACATTTAACATGCTACTGTAGAAGCTGTGAAGTGACACGGCAGACCTTACAGAGACAGTAATAGGGTCGAGGGAAAGATGTGTCTCTCTGTGGTTATGGAAAGCTTGAACTGATCAGGAAAACCTTTCAGAGCAACAAGGGGATTGTAATGAGGAGACCCACAGATGGCTTTGAGAGTAAGATGTGACTAAGCGAGAAATCCAGAAAAAAAGCGTCAGTGGTATACACTCAAAGTCTGAGTAATTTCTTTCTTCTTTTCAACCAAATCACTTCTAAGGAGTACGTTTCTTTTGCTTTAAGACAGTGAATTAACATATTTTTAAAAGCACCTGTGTGGGTGAGACCCTCAACATCAGAGTTTTTCATAAAAGGCTTGCCCTTTAAAAACAGAGATAAAATATACCCTCATTTCTTTCTCAGAGCCTCCAGGATTTACATTTACATTCTGTGACTTATCATAGAATGATCCTTTAATAAATACAGTCTGTTTGTATTCTGCGTCTCGTAGGCATGTAGGAATGTGAGGAAAGACGGTGAACTTTGTAAAGTAAATGCTTTCCGTGCTGAATGTTGTATTCTGTACATCCCACTATAACTAACAGCATAACTGTTATGGCAGTGTTGACACAAATTTGGACAAAAAGCATGACGCGTGACTAATTCCAGACAGTGCATCAGCCCGGATAAAGCACAATGGGTGAATATTCCCAAATTATTTGGATATCATCTCTCAGTCACAGGGGGTAGAGACAGAGCCAAAGGGCAAGACTAGCTGACCAATGCTTTTCTAAACGCAGAGCTGGGCTTAGAGCTATTATTCAGGAGAACTGCATGGCATTGTCCGACCTGTGGCCCTGCATTCAAACCAGCTCAGTCCAGACACAGACATCTACTGATCATGCCCAGAACAATTCAAGACAAACAAGAACTTTGTAGAGAACACAGCCATGCCAAGACATCACATCACATACTCTGCCGTCACAATAGCAAGTAGGCATGCCAGAGAAGGAGGGAGGACCGGGAAGGATACACCTGCTCTTCCCCTGCTTTGGTGTCCTAACCACCTTATGCAGAGTGGAAGCCTGAAGAATGAACTTTCCTCTCCTTTTAAAAGGCCATGTGTAAAGCTTATATTGCATAACACACGCTGCACGCTTCTGCTCTGAGGAGATCAAACTCCGTCTCATAGAGAGCATGGACAAGGGCTGATCTAATCCAATCACACAATTAAATCAGTCAATTGGAGATAAGAGGCTTAACGCACATCTTATCTTGTAAAGGTGATAAAGGTCTGAACTGGACAAAGGATAGGGTGACCGGCCATGCACTCTTTGTTTCAGTATATTTGTAGACCTACAGGCTCTCATTTTGATATTTCAAATTCAATTCAATATAAAAATAAATTAACAAATAAAGAAAATAAAAATAAAATAAAAATATTATTTTTAATATTCATATATATATATGTTCATATTTATTTATTGAGTGCTTTTCATAGTGATAGCAGCTCAATGTTTTAAATGACAGAAACAAGGTAGAACTTAAAACTTAACTTAAGTTAACTTAAAAGTTAAAATAAAAAGATGAGTTTAATAACCGTTAGACTGTCTAATAGAAGAAACATAGAAACAAAAAGAGGCCTGTCTACTTTTTCCGTAATTTTCAGAGTGTATTTGCAGAAGGCCAGCATCTGCAGATCTAAGCTCATGTGCTGAAACAAACAGAAAGAAGTCAGTACCTAATGCAGGTGCTAGGCCATTTAGAGCTTTAAACAGGGCCATATCACAGAAGACTGAATTTTCCTTATTTTTTTGAAATAATAATTTGATGTTAAATGTAAACATTATAATTTCAAAAGTAGTCACTCATCAGTCCATACAGTGCATATATGGAAACTAAGCTACAAAAACAGCTCATTGTAAAGTCATTGGTTTTTACAATGTCACGAAAAACACTTCATTTTCATATATCTGCATGTTCAACCTGCAGCAGTTTAGCTCCACCTATTCATCCTTAAGTTATAAGGAGTGCTTCAACCTGGACTGCTTTTTAACTCGACATAATACACTGTAGCCAATCAGAACAGAGGTCATATACACATATCAATAACAAAGACAAACTGTTTAAGGATAATATATATGTGAATTCTCTTACTGGTCTATTTTACTATATGAAATAGAGCTTATCTTTTTACAAAGTAAAAATTCTAAAATCTTTAATGGCTATCCATATTTTGTTATTGTTCAGTAAAGCATATTTTTTAACTCCATTACTCATAAAAATAATCATTACATTACTTATTAACTAAAACAATTGACAGTGACAGCTCTAATATATTTAGTTTAATTCATATGTGTGTATTTGTATGAATACATATCCGGTCAAGCTCACCCTGACTGTTCTGAAGTTTGCTGCATCATCAAGTCCATTGACGGAGGCTGAATCAAGACTCAGATAGTTATATTTGCTGAAGTCTCGGTCCAACTTCAGTTTTTCTGAAAGAGAAACACAGAAGGACGGAGTGAGACTGAATGAGAACTTTCTACTTTCTACTTTCTTTAAAAAATTTCCATCTGGGTGACGAACATGAATCCCATTCAGCTGTGGATCAGCTGTGGATTAGAAAGCCCACAAGCACCTTTACAGCCGGATAGGGTTACAAGTCACACTGCCTACAGCTTAGTTCACCTTTTTGATGTCTGAAATTAAAGCCTATTACTTTGTTCTCTTTCATTACGCATGTCAAACAATGGCCATGGTCCAGTGAAGTGCAAATAAAGCATGAGAAAGCAACAGCCTTTGCCTCAGGTACCAAGGGCTTTCCTTTTAGTTTAAAAAAAGGAATAAACCATCTCTTACCACAGACATGAATGAACCCATACCAAGAATGCGTTATGTCTACAGCAGCATCTCACAGGTATAAGAACACAGTGTGTACTTGTATGTAGTCGCTTACTGAGCGTGTCCTCTGATGCTCCAGATAACAGCTGGTAAAAGATGTGGAAGTTCCTCTCTCCTCTTGGCTGCTTCACAACACGGGACTTCTCCAGGAGATCTGAAGGAAGATCGGCATCACAACATTACACATAGCTCTCTATTTTGGATCTAACTCTAAAGCACAGGTTTCTAGTTCACATCCTGCAGTTCCTGCCCTGCAATGTTTCCAGTATTTTCCTGCTCTAACTCGACCTCTTCAACTCAGGAAGGGCTTATAAATAAATGTGCTGATGGGCTGTATTGGCTGTGTTAGCCAGACCAGAACTGGAACCATTGATCTAAAGCACAGTATGACTTAACAGCTGTTTCAATTGGGCCACACAATCTTTTCTCAAATCACTGGACAAACAGAGTGAAGAATCCAAGCCATGGATGTTTCTGTAACTCATGTGATAATTGGTCTGCTGGATCATTCAGCTCAGCAAGGCCAGCCCCTCCAAAGCGGACATCTGAAGAGTTGCCTGTTTACGGTGGGGCAAATATTTGAGTATTCAAGGTGATGGCAGTGTATTGAGCCTCTCTTTGTCCATTGTGTTAGAGCAGGAAGAGGAAGTCTCACAGGAGAGATCTATCTGGAAGGATAGGAAGAATGCCTCGCGCTAACTGCTGCAGCCCAAACTACTGCAGCACTGTAAAGACCACACTATAACATCTCCAGACCCTGCAGATTAAGATATTATCAGGTGTACAAGCAACTTAAAATATTTTTTGAAAATTTCCATTAAATGTCATTTTAAAAAACTGCCTGAAGCTTCATTTATTTTATTAATTTGGACCCCAAATTAAAAAGGTAAAATGGTAATGAACATGAGCCCCAAAGGTTAATGGTTAGAGGTAAGGTATTTACTTTCAACCCATGCCAATCACAGCAGTGATTCAGTGCTTCAAGTCCAGGTCCCATGGATGCAGGAAGTGAGGTGCTGAGTTGATGGCAGCACCCTTAGATTTTAGGACTGCAACTGCCAAAAATAAGCCCAAAGCTGGGCTCCTTATGTCAGCTGCTGGCTGTTTTGGGGGGCACGTACAAACAATATTAGCAGTCTAAAATGGCTTTTAGCTTAGAAATTAATTTTGTAACATAATATAACGTAATAATACATTTTTTAACACATTTTTTTTCTCTTCTTCAATCATTATATCTCCTGGCTGGGTTTTGTTTGAGTATTGAATCTCAGCTTGTAGCTTGACTATGGGTGTGACAATCTGTTACTCCACCCCATATCATCAATTTGATTGGTTGTTGCTCAGCTCATTTGAATAAAGTTCGTCCAGAATGAGAGACAGCACAGAAATCAGTATGTGCATTTATCAGTTATGTGTGTAGTGTCATCTCTTGCCACATTATAGCACATTATGACATGTTCTCTTTGATGTATATTATCCAGAAAATTAAAATTAAGAAAAAAATTGGCTTATCATTTCTGCATAATGTAACAGCGCACATCATCTATATGCTGCTTAAAATTTCAGCACAAACAACTTAAAACACCTTCCAGGACCTCAATCATACTTCAAGAGCCTATTAAAGAAGTCCTCTGCAGGCCAAACTCTAACAGGTCCTTTCAGAGTTTCCTTTCACATGTCATTCACATTAATATCACTCTTCTCATCGTTTAAGACACAACCCCCTTAAATGATGTCTGATATGAGAGAGAAGAGGCAGAGGCAGGATGAATCTGGGGAAATGTTCAGAAGCGAGCTCTCCCTGAGGAGACTCCCCTCTGCTCTTTCACCTTTTGTACACTCAGAAAATTCTTGTTTGTTGCCGTTTTCGCACAGTCACACATTCTTAAAGCTGCTCTAACTTTCAGGACATATGGAAAAGCATCCACTGTTGATGACTTGCAGGATATAGCCTTTCCCAAGCAATTCTCTTTCAATAAGCAAGTGATTCAAGAGTTCTCCTTTAAGCACTTAGTTTGTGCACCCCCCACCACACCCCCCCAAGGGGTAAGCTGTATTTGTTCTTGTTTTTTCCCCTTGTCTGTATTTTCCACTCTGATCAAATGAAACATAGCTAGCAATAACGGAGGCACTGATGTGGAGTGGGCCGGCTCTGTAGCACGAAGACAGAGAGAAGGCCTTTATTGCCTTTGACTGTGGAGGAAACCCCTCAGGCCTCACGATAATCTACAGCATGCCTCTAGAGTGGGAGATCTGTCCGACACGCAGTTCAGCTATTTCAAATAAGAAGCATTTGCAAAAGATGCTATTGTGAAGAGAGATCTGAAATAGACACTAGACTTAATAAGCATTGGCTGTTTGACTGAATTAATAGTTTGAAAAAAGTTCCAGCAGGAACACATTAGTAACCCTCTCTTGTTCATTTTATATTTCCTTCTATAGATGTGTTGATAGAGTCAAAACATCAGAAAACTGTAAATAACTAAAACAAACTGATGAAGGACATATATAAAGGTGGTGATGTGGGGAGGCAGGGGGAGAGGAGGGAGGAGGTGATAAACAGGAGAGAGAGACAAAGAAAGAGAGTGAGAGAGAGGAGAGAAGAGAGGCAGATGGATAAGCGAGAGAGAGAGCGAGAGCGAGAGAGAGAGAGAGAGAGAGAGAGAGAGAGAGAGAGAGAGAGAGAGATGAGACTGTTTTGCTAAGTGCTGTGCCCCTGAACTTTCACTGGAAACACATAAACAGTGCAATATTGATCTGACTCTCTCTGTAGCGCGGTGGCCTCTTATGGACGGCGGCATGCTAAGTAATCAACAACTTTACCACTCTTTGACCCCAACACAATATGGGTTACAGGCTATCTACTACGTAAAGGGCAAATGAGCTAACTGATGTTAGTGACAAAACAGGGTCTAAACACAATTGTGTGTGTCTGGTAATCTTCATCTATGTCCGCCTCTGGGCCAGACAATTTGTGCTGCTTTAAATCTCTGTTTTCAGTTTGACTGTGATTAGGGAATTTCCACTTTGGCTCAAAAGTTTAAAATCATTGTTCTAAAGTTTGGAATCAATGTTTTCCACCAAAAACCTATATAATTTCAGATAAATGTATACAGTTAATTCAGTATGCAAGTCCTCTGTAGTTTCATAGTGGTGATCTTAAGGGAGATAAAAAAAAATATTACAGTACATAATGTACAGTATACAATAAAATAAAACATAAAATACCTTTTGGTGTTTAGTTGTTGAGATTTAAATCTACATTAAAAGTTAGATTTACAAAGCCAATTCCAAAGTTTTGCATGCTTTTTTGCATGCATTTACCACTGTGTTACATCAGCTTTCCATTTAACAAGACTTGATAGTCATTTGGGGATTGAAAACACAAACTGATCCAGCTTTGAAAGTTTTTTTTTCAGTGGGAGACAGATGTGGACAACAGGAAGTTCAGTCTAGCACCAGCACTCTCTTCTTACGCAGCCAAGCTGTTGCAGAATGTGCAGAATGTGGCTTGGCATTGTCATGTTGAAATAAACATAGATGTCCCTGAAAAAGATGTCGTCTAGAAGGCAGCAAATGTTGCTCCAAAATCACAGTTAATGTTCAGTTTTAATAGTGCCTTCACAGATGTGCAGTTAACCCACTAATACACTCCATACCATGACAGAGCTTGGCTTTTGAACTTCACAATGGTAACAATCCGAATGGCCCTGCTGGTTCTTCTTCGACTTGAAAAACACGCCGATCATTACTTTTTTTCTAAAAAATAAAATTTAAATATCTTGCCCTTCTTCCATTTTTGTTCAAATACAGGTCAAAGTAAATTTATAAATGACTGCCTTCTGTATTTATTTGTATTTTACCTACTATCCCAACGTCTTTGGAATTGTGTTAGTAGATTTAATATAATTATTGTATACGAAATAAGCTAACGAGTGATTTCAATCTTTCGATTGGTAGGGTATGGTCACTTAACATTGCAACGGAAACTACTGTGTCTAGGAATGGACAACATGGGCTGTGTGGGTACTGTTCAAATGGCAGACTATTTGGGAATGTGTAGGTGTCAAACGAAGCAAGGCCAGCATGGACAGACTAAACTGAGCTAGAGCTCTTTCCAGTACACCCTGCATCTGTGTATCTGTCCTAACCCGCTTGCTTAGCTGCAGTAGGAGGACAAATGCAAACACAAGCCTCTCTTTGACCACACAGATGGATCTGAGGAGGATCTGTGAAGAAAGTACCTCATCTATAAAAGACACTGAGCCTCGCTGAGGCGCTTCTGAATGGGTTGACTCAATATCGATCCTGTAATTATACTCACAGTTACTGATGACCCCACCCAACGGGTCGCCTTTGAAGTCAAACTCGATGTCCATGTACTTCCCCTGTAGACAGAGAAGAAAAAAATGATCAAATCAATAAAGAGTTAAAACAGATTTATAGAACTTCAAATAATGTGAAATAAATGAGAACTTTTTTGTTGGTAATAAGCTTTATTCTTAACACAGTCAAAACAAGATATGAGGGACCAGGGTGTTCCACACCAGTGATGAGATTGCATCAAGGCCTTTAATACTGGCTTAGCTGGATAGGCAGAACCACACGCCTCTGCTGTGGCTTTTAATGGCAGGACGGGGTACAAGGCTCAGAGGTAGCAATTGCTGCAAAACTGGCTGAAACATGAGCTCTCTATGAGGGAGCAGAAAGACCTTCTCTCCAAGCTTAGTCACTTAGTAAAGCCCAGGCCTATTTACAAAGTGGACTGCCAATCATACACAGATTTGTAATGGTATAATGGACTGCCACGGAGGAAAATGTTCTCGGCGTTGCAAAGGTGAAAAAAAACTCTAGTCCAACCCAAAACTGCAAAGAAACAGTAAGCTCCCTGTCTCTGGAGCTATTTCTCTTTTTTTTCATCCAGCAGCTCTTCAAAGCTACCGGCCCTGTAGCTGCAGCCAAATTCAACAACATTTCTCCCTAGCCAAGGGAAGTAACAGATCCACTTTTTTCCACTGCACTAGAGATGAGATGACACATTATAGTGTGAGCTGGAAAGGGATTTAAAGGTCTGACAGCAGTTCCTGAATTGCTCTTCAACACCCCTACCCCACCCTAAACTGGGAAACTTAAAATTTTTACCCTCTAAGTGTTAACACACCATACAGATGTGCTCGTCTACCAGAAGCTAATTGGCTTGTGGAGAACTTGGGCAGAATTCACTCCTCAGTCTTTAAGGTGAGCTTAACTGGAGAAGCCTGGAGTCACGCAATGACATAAAGAAAGAAACTGAAACAGCCAGCAGCCCCCCTTTCCCCCACACTGTGAGCGTGAGAACACTCCTGCACTATTGCTACCCAGCAGGATTGTGTCTCCTCAGATCTGCATACCGGAACTGACAGTTTTTCCCCCTTCTAAGTGGCCCTCTAAATACATTTACACACTATAGCACTAGCTAATGTAACATCCAGCAGTAGCACCATTATGAAAAACATCATGAAACAAAGCACAAAATTTTAGATTCAATATATGATATGGTGGGGTCCCCATATGATACATTTTTCAATACAGCAAAAACAAGGAGTGCCTATATATATATACACATGCTAATGTTTGCATTAAGCACACAGTTTGCATGCATGCGCAGAACGGTGCATAAAATTCCAGGTTTGGTATGATTTCCCATGCTGTGGTCAAGATTCAATTGGATTTTGAATATTTTGTTCCCTCTGTATAGACTAAAGGGCCCATTGGTGATACAGTTTGAAATTTCGATTTTAGAAATATTTATGTACCTGCATCGGCAGACGTACACAAAAATATCGAATATGGGCATCAACCCACAATTCCCATATTGGTGCATCTCTAATAAATGCTATTTTTCAACATTGCTGTCTTTCCTTTTTATTCCTGCAAAAATAAATGTCGTCCAATACAGAGGGAACCATTTAAGAATGAATCATTATTGCTGCAACCTTCTCCTAGCAAAGCGGTGACTCATTATGTAATGCACATTCACTGAAACAGCTCTTCTGGCTGCGCAAGCTGCACAGTGTTCTCTGCTCTGACCCCTGTCAGAATAGCTCAGTGCATGTTTATCTAGTAGCAGCTGGCTAAGAACCCAACAGTCAAAATGGCCACCTTTCAGGTCCCAACGCCTCTCATCACAACATTTCCACCCACATACACAGTAGGACTGCACAATATGGACAAAACAACATACGGCATACACTTTGCTTCATACAGCAAAGCCTTTTAATAGGCTATATTAATAACAAAGTGGTGAAGTTTTTACATGGGAAACAATTGGCTTGCATTATTTTGACCAAAATTATTTATACTTGTTGGATCTCATTAATTGAATATATCAAAAAACTAATTTGGAACATCTGAGATTGGTCAGGACCATCAAAGTTCCCAGTAAACAATTTTGTAAATGGTTAGCAAGTTCATTAGCATATTGCAGCTATCTGTGATATCCATACATCAACTAAATCCTAACAGAAATATCTAGGCGAGTAATGGAAAACCTGCAGAGTTAGATAAAATGATATTGTGCATTTATTACCACCATTATTAAACATGTGCCAGTATTTTATTGATTTATTTACTTGCTCAGTCAGCTGATACAAACACGGATCACTGAACTCAATAATGAGTTCAAGCAGTCAGAAATCTGTGCGCGTACACTAATTTGTCCAGAATGCTGCAATGTTGTATGAGTGTGCAGCTTACTTTGATGTGAAGCAGTGTTCCCCTAAATTTGACTTCAAGCTGTACCAAACTAAATCTACATTGAGGGGAATTTTCTATTGTACACATACACCATTTAGATGCTTCAATTTGCTTATCATTTATTTTGACAGGCTTTTTAAATGTCAGCAAGCAAAATCAATGTTTTATTTGAGGTGGCCACTTTGGTCAATAATGCTGGATGGGGTAATCCAAATAAATAGGTGAGGTTTGGGCTGTTAGTGACACTGCATGGTGCACCAGAAGTCTGTGAAACACTTTGTGAGACTATGAAAACTCACGAGTTTCAATGTCATGGAAATGAGACTGCAGCAAACCAAAAAACGTGAGCTTCACAGGTAAACCTTGAGATGGATATCAGTATTTCAAAGGTCAATACTGCAATAATGATTAAGGAATTATATTGTTGCTGTCTGAACAAAACCTGGTGGTAACTTTATTGGAGAAAGGAAAAATGTTCTTATTTGTTTTGCTCCATTTATTATAAATTTGTAACAAAATCTGAACAGCAGCTGGCATTTTCAAATTCTAGGAAAAGAGAGAGATACCAAGTTTTGTTCTGACAGTGATGATACACTCTACAGCCAATGCAGTATAAGAACAGTTAATCCACACCAATTTGCCTTCACTGTAATCATTACCCATGTAGGCTGCTCCAAGCAGCACAGTAGAAGGCTGTGCTCATGAGCACGAGGATGGAAACAGGAGAGGAGCGCCTGCAGACTCACTTCCTGAATGCAGGCCTCCTGGCAGAGGTACACACATGCACATCTGGATGTAGTTGCCAGGGAGGTTACAACTAGAGTTTCTTTTGAGCCCTGCTTTGTGCTGCAACTGTAATCGCTCTGTCGTTGCTATGTCAAGAAAAGCAGGGCCAAACACGTCCAGATGTTGGTCAACAGGTAGCCGAGCACACACAAAATAGAGTGATGGTCCTGTCTGTAAGATTATAGGTTCCCAGTGAGGATTTTCCCCTCATGAAATATATTGAGGATTGCTACAAACAGAACGTTTAGAACGAAATGAGGTAAGAGAGCTGTTTGAGGGTGGGACACAAAGAGTGAGTTTTATTTGCCCTTAACCGTTTCTGCCATCACGCTAGGATCAAAGGTCTATGTGGACTTATGCAAACACACTCAGAGTGATCAAAGCAACCATAAAGGACTCTGCCAGGAAGTACACAGATACTCACAAATCGAGATGAATTGTCATTCCTCACAGTTTTGGCGTTTCCAAAAGCTGCAAAAGGGGATAAACAGACACAGGGTTAGTGATAAAGTGTGATAGGTTTATATAAAATAGTATAAAAGTAGTCAGATGAGCCACATCCTAGTCAGAGTTACATATGCAGCTTAGAGGAAGCCCCTGACTTGTGAGCAGGAGCCATCTAAATGCACTTTCATTCAGGCGTCAAACCATTTCACGCCTGTTTTAACATGGCTTTTACTGTAATTAAAAGTGGTGCTTTGTGAATTGTTGCATTATGAAATCTCTGCCTAGCTAAGATAACTAAGGCTTTCAGATCACAGCGAAAAAACACTGAGGGATAAGTGCTGTGGTGCGTGCAGAACCTGAATACAGAGACAATCGTGTGTTGGCACCATTATCTTATTAGAGACACCGTATTGTGATTACCAACCTTTTAAGTCTTAACCTTTCTGCACAGTAACTGTAAAATGTAATACCTGCCAGTTTTGGAGGTCCCGTAGTTATTTCCTCCAATAACTTTGATGGAATATATTTTGATGGAAATGTGTATGATTTACAAAACTGGAAGCAAACTGAATTTTCATCTTCGACGGTGAGAAGCAGGTCAACATTTACGAAATGTGTTTTTATTGTGTTTAAATACTATCTTTGTGGAAGTACACAATTGCTTGACATCAAGAAAGCTGCAGGTCATCTTTGTGGAAAGGCTCAAATTGTTTTCAGGGCACGGGGCTCTCCCCCCCCTTTCGTCTCTCATTGCTTGCTAGCAGCTTGCAGCATTCACATGCAGAGAGCCAACAGTGTCCTAGTTAGTCTGATAAGAGCGGTGCAGAAATTTTATTTAAGTCACGTTCCATTCCGACCATGAAATGGATCTGCATCTGGATGCAAAGGCTCTGAAAAGGCTACCAGTTGTGCTCCTCACAGTGTCCTTAGCCCTACGTTAAACTTAAGGTAGAACTAGAGTTTATTAATATCACAGCCAACAGCAGGATCAAAATTAGGAGACATTACGTAGTATAAACTGGAGGTAGTTTTTCTGTGCCTCTTCGGTCCTGGCTGCATACAGTGTGCACAGGAGTGCGAGCACAGGACAGGAAGAGGGTTGAGCCTGAGGCGTAGGGGATCATTACAGCCAGCAGCTAAACTCTCACAGATGTGGAGCTCAACTGGGTACTTCTATCCACTTCATCACTCATGGGCAGTTCCTGTGTGTGACCCTATGTTAAAAACACAGCTGCCTGCATGCCAGCAGAGAGCTTTGTGCTCCATTAACAGTGAAAGGCAGATATCTGAGGGTGGGGTGAAATTATGAGAAAATGAGGGGCAAGTATGTCTCCGCGCCCCTTGTTCTCAAACTAGTCTAGAGAAAACAAATAGGTTTAATGATACACATACAGTTTCAAGTTCAATTTTATCTTAATAAAAGATAAGATTTAATATCATTTTTAATAATGTATGTCTTAAAAATGTCTTGATGCTTCTATTATATAATACACAGATTGATTTGGCTCAGATAAAGAAAAGTTCTCAAACAGAACTTTCAATGACCATCACATTAGCCCTCTAATAAACTACGCCCCCCAAAAATCGAAACCTTTAGCATTTATAAGAGACTTCATAAAATGGCCAGCTTTTTGAGCTTGTACATAGCATAAGACCTTGTCTCTCTCATCCCACTCAACTCTGACAGGATGTATGGACAAATGCCTTCTGATCAGTGACAGTGGTGTCCACCAGAGATCCTCAGATTAGATCAAGGTTTTCATTTTTATTTAGTTTGTTTTGGTTTTCAATTTAACTTTAGCTTCTGTTACCTGAATTTACAGTTTTAGTTTTGTTTTCTGAAACGAAAGAGTTTTAGTTTAGGTTTCAATTTAATTTTAATTCATGTCTTAGTTTTCAAGATCCTGGCAAATGAGGTAGACTCAAAGTAATTGGACTTTCATGCCATGAGGTCTGTATGACTATGCTCAACTACGCTGCAAGCTTTATTATATTTAATTTTTGTTTGTGTTGTTTTTGTCTTTTTGAAAACTGACTTTTTCCTCCTAACATTTAATGAGCACATTTTTCACTGGAAGTGTTTGTTTTATGATACTTTTTGTTAACTATAAGAACACCACACTGTCTTGAACGCTGTAATAAAACAATTACATCCTTATAAAGTTATGAACATACCATTATGTAAGCATGATAAAAAGCAGCAGCTGACTAGTTTAAAGTTGAAATTTATTAAAATGGTCTGTGAATTCTGTCTCTATAAGATCCTTGCACTGTCCTTGGGAAGGCTTACTCTACTTCACCAGTTGTTATCAGAGTCTATATGTCAAAGGCCTGTTCTATCAGACGTTAGTTCCTGTGGCTGTGATAGCTGATCGTATTGGTGTTTGGATGTTGGAGGATTCTTCTAGAACTGTCAAGATAAGACAAAGAATTCTGAGTTTGCTCAGAAAGAGAATTCAGTACATTGCACAATATTCTTTCAACAGCGTCATCGCAGTGTTTACTTAATTGTAATTTGTAACCATACATTGAATAGCATTTTTTTTATGTCATATCTTAGATTTGTAAACAGCACTGCGTTTTTGTTTACATCTAATTTTCATCATTTTATTTACAGTAAAACATGGATTCTGTGATCAATTTAATCTATTAAACTTTATGGTTTGACTGATTTAAAAAAAGAATCTTCAGTTTTGAGCTCAGACATCAGATGGATCAAAAAAGTACAAATTAAAGTGTAACAACAGATAATAGCACATTTTGGTGCTATTAAGCCTCAGAATAAAGATGTTTCTGTCGCAAAAACTCAGAGAGACAGAGGTTAACACCTACCCTCTAGCACAGGATTGGACTGCAGCAGCTGCTCCTTCACTTTGTTCACCTCCTGGCCCTTCCCACACACTGCAGCCACATATGACATCACCAGCTTGCTGGCCTCTGGAATGCAGTACAGGAGAGAGGTCAGAGGTCACACCCGACCAGACGAGGCAGGGCCGCATCCCAAAATCCCCTTTACATCAGCCCTGTCTGCCTGGTTTTCCCACCCCACCCTGGTCCACAAGCACAGTGCAAGTCCCTTCCCTCACAAAGGCAGTTTAGAGCCCGTTCAACATCACTTTGAACTGTCAGTATTTGAAATGACAATTAAGAAACACAGAAAAGAGGAGAGCCAGTGGTCAGAACCAGCTTTCAAAACAACACACTTATGAGACTAATCCAGAATGCACTCTAAATGACTTTTTCCATGTTTGGATTGGGCGGTGCTCAAGCTTACGAGGGACTTTGGTAAATCACTGCCTGTACAAGACCTGATTTGAAAAGCTGGACATGAAGTGGGACAAAAACCCCCTACTAGGTTTAGTGATTGACTGTTAATGACGATCGTGCCAACCTGATTTGGACAGCTTAGACTGTGGCATTTCGATCAACCTTTTACATGGAAAAATAGATAAGATTGAGTTGAAATGGCAGAAAGTGCAGTGAGAAATGAGTGAAATGGCTAAGAGGAAAAACTGGGGCAGCAAGACTTCAGACTTGATGTATTGAAGAAGCGACATTTAAAGTAAACAAAGCAAGTTCAGTATAGCCTACTGTGTGCACCAAACCAGTGACTAATTCCTTTATTTTCAGAGCTGACTGAGTTACTACTCACATTGAAAGAAGCCCGGAAAACGGTTTAGAGAAAAAGAAAATAGTCTCAAATTAAACCTAACCCTTAACTAAAAAGTGTCAATGGAGAATGACTATAGAAAAGAAAAGAAAAGGAAAAGAAAAGAAAGTGCTAAATCATTCTTAAAGTTGGGAAAGCAGAAACTGCCACCTGTGTAGTGTCCAGTAACACCTTTTGTCCTTGTATCATAATTCTTCATTCAATTCAGCTTCAAAGAGTAAAAAGAATAGAGGCAAACAACACAATTGTGTTAAAATGAGATCATTTAACACGCAGGTCAGTTCAGGTCAGTATACTTTTCAGCCAAACATGAAAAATATGCTTTAACCTAAAGGTAAATTAGTTTTATCATCTGTTTTACGTCCCACAGTTCTGACGATGGAGAAGGCTAAAATAAATAAGAACTGTTTAATTAATCGTGGGCTGGGTGTAGATTATTAGAGAGAAGCACTTCTAAATTAACTCTGTGACCTAGACAAATACTCAAACATTTTCATCAGCCCGTTTCTCTGTAAACCACACAAATGATGAGAGGATTACCAAAATCCCAATTTATCTCATTGCCTTGACTGCTGGACTTCCTGGATTTGACTTCTAAACCAAAGAGTAGTTGGCATACAGAGATGCCAGTGTTCAAAGCAACAGAAAACTAATGATGAGTGGAAAAGGGTTGTAAAATGCCGTGGTTAAGCTTTGTTAGAAGTAAAAGAATGAAAAAAGACCACTGTAAAAATAGACTCTAGCTCACTTTGATATTTGTGCTTTCTAAGGCAGAGAAAAAGCTTTAATTATAAATATTAATTATAGAATTATAAAAGCACTGGATAAACAAACGCAGCAACCAAAATTATGTTCAGATACACCTGAAAATAAAAAAAAAATATATAGTTTGTTGTTTAACTAAGAGTTTGCAGCAGACCTCCAGGCAACGCTGACTCTATGTTTAATTTGGAATCTAAAGTACTGTATCTATAGCAGGGAACCCATCACTTGCCATCAGTTCCTGCTAGACAGAGGAACAGAGCAGTGTGAACGGGTGCCAGCAGGGCAGGGCAGACAGCTGAGCCAGTGCTGGAGTGACAGGCGGGGACTGAAAGCTGTTCCCCTGTTCACACTGAGGGTACGCCTTAAGCCAACTCAACCTCATCCATGCTTTTTAAAGCTGTGCTACAGACCTGGCATGCTTCTACATCACATGCCGCCTGAGATCATTTCACTGTGGTGGAATGAGCACGCTACCTCTTAAGAAAGTCAAGAAGAATCCACATTTCAGCAGGACATCATTATTAGTTTGTACCAATGCAATTTAATGTGGAAAGTTTCTGACTAGTAAGGGATTGTGCATTGTAAACACAAACAAATATATAACCCCTGGCTCTTAGGAGGGAATGAGATGGCCTCCATGTGTAAATGATAGATGCAGGCCAAATGGGAGCAATGCTCGCGTTGATGCTTGACTCATAAATCATTCTGTTTGATGTTAGCCTACACCTGGCATACATTTGTAAATCTTTATCTGCCTCCAAGACTTCAGATGAGACATGCAAGAAGAACAAAGAATATATATTTACAATTCTTCTTTACCAAAGAAGGCCAGCATCCTCTTTAAATCCCAGCATCCTCTTTAAAAAGAAATCAGTGCAATCAATGGATTCCTTAACACGACTCCAGTGCATTTGCTAAGATTAATTATTACAACTTGCAAAGCAACCACAGACTAAATGTTTGAATAACTCAGTCTATTCAAAAGGGGTATGACGTCTGACAAATGGAGAACATGACAGTGCTTTCACTTTGCTTTTGACTGATTGATTTGCCAACAAGAACAGTAGAGATGAATTGTGAGAGAAGACAAGTACATCTGAATGAAGAAGAGATACCGTAACTAACACACTTCAATTAACTTTCTCCAAACAAAGTCCTTTTTACCCTAAGTAAAACTGCTTTTTTGGATTTCAGTAGACAATTTTTAGTTTCTGGAACATTAATATGTCTGTGCAAGTGGTTTGTTTCAGGTGGAAACCACACCTGAACTCGCCCAAAGCAGTTCTGACCCACAGACAGCATGTGAAAGATAGCCTTGAGGTTTGTTTACTCTGTATACGATTTCTGTAGTACATATAATTATTCATTTTTGACCGCAGGATCAGAAATACAAAAGTGTGGTTACTGCTGCTGGGGGTGAAAACAAAGCACGGTAAACCTTGCAGAATTCTCAGCACTCTTACCAGTCTTTCCTGCCCCACTTTCTCCTGTAATGAGGATGCACTGGTCTTTATCTTGATCCCGGAGTGACCGGTAGGCCTCATCTGCCAGAGCATAACTGGAGAAGACAAAACAGAAGGAGCTTAGACTTGACATGAATATGAGAAGCATTACTTGATATAATTTCAGAGTTTACACAAACAGAGAATGTCCACTCGACAGTATGTGCATTAATTGGTGACTTCCAGTTCAGCTCTTTACTACCAGCATCATGTTTCACAACCTCACTGCAGCTGCCAATGGGAAAAAGACCTTTCTGCATCCTCCCTACTGAAAGGTGAGGGGAGAGGAAATGCATGGTTTGGAGTGTGTGCAGTGTGTGCAGGCCACATGTCAGCTAATTAACAGCATGCTGCAATTCTGGACAAAACTAGGTCGCATCTGCGTAACAGTCGACAAAGGCTTGAACAATGTGTTGAATCATGAGGCTGCATTTTGCTTTGCAGTGTGTTTTCTTGTGGTTAATGGGAATAACAAGATCTCACACAACCATCTAACACCCATCCATGACAAAATACCTTAATTCAGATAATCTGAGATGTAAAACATTATTACTGCACTGTTAATGTGGTATTAATGACAGGAAATGAAAACAGTGGAAAGCAGTTATATAGAGCAGTGCGAAATCAAGAAAGGCAAAAGTTCATCTCTGTTCACTTCAAATTCAACACCTTTACAGTACTGTGCAAAAGTCAGAGACCCTTCATTTAGTTCATTTCCAGTCAAAATGGAAACTCTTGCTTCACATCAGAAAATAAACCCAGGTGCCATCGATGCTTCCCCTGTGAGAAAACAACTCTATGGATCTGAAAGGATGTGTAGCTGTCAAGAAGTGGCTACTGAGAAAAGAAAATAAAAATTAATTAATTAATTAATTAATTAAATATTCCTGCAGATTTCTTTGAAAAATGTAATTTTAGGGCACAATTCCTTTTCTAAGATTTATTCCTTTAAAATTTATTTGCTAAGTTTATCATATTGGGGAAAAAAAACTAAACATACGCTATAAAATGTGCCATAACATTTTTCGCAGACCACATATGTTTTGTTTTTTATTCCCCAATATACGAAATTCAGCTAATAAACTGTAAACGTGCATTAAATTTGCAGAAGTGTGTTCTCTGTAGAGGACGTGTGCTTATTTTTTTTTACTGAGACAACCAGCAAAACATGTAATTTGACCCAAACTTTTGCATACGACATATATTTTTCTGCTTTTTCTGACACTGAAAAATGAATCACTAACTTTATGGCAGTTTTGATTGGAAATTAAACAAATAAACAAAAAAGGTGGTCGCTGACTTTTGCATGGTAAAGTATGCATGTGTTCCAGTACTACACTACAAAGACTAGAATGCAGTACCATTTGTATATTTAATGTGATATGACTATGTTTCCTGGCTGTATGACCACTCTCAAAAGGTCAGAGGGACCTGGCAGAGGAGGCAGGATAGTTTTCTTTTAATACGGTACATAATAAATAAGCTTCACTTTACATAAATTCCAGTACACATCCACAATAGGAAAGTGGGTCATTTGGCCCTGGACGCGGGGGGCTCTACAACAATGAAATGATTGTAATTGATTTGCTTGCGTGTGACTGTACACAGAAAACACCAGCAGGGAGTGTGGGCCTAGAGAGGGAGGAGAGACAGAGCACGTGAGCTGTGATGGTGTAGGCCCTAAGGATCGCATGTGCAGTAAAACAGTTCTAATATTGTGACTATCCCATTTCATTTCACTTCCATCAGGCCACAAGACTTTAAGACATTAGCCATTCAGACAGCTCGCTCTGTTTCTCAGTTTTCCCTCTGTCTGTACTTTTCTACAATCATTACCCAGGAATGTTCCAGAACCACCACTAATAATAGCTCTGATTGTGAGGGAAATGTTGCATGTAGTTTCCCCTCCTGTAAGACATTTAGAACACCCCCAATCTTCATAAATGCTCGAGTCTAGAGATCTGCAGGGAATTTCATGGTGCCTGTATGCATGTCAAGAGGAAATAAGTTGGCAAGTAAAAGTTAAGAGCAAACTACAATGCAATTCTAATGATGAAGTATGAAGTTTGAAAGTCCTTTATAACTGAATGCTGCTGCAATGTTTACTGACTTTGTTCCTTTTAATTGGCCTTGTCACCTGCATTAGATCCTCTCTTTGCAGGTAAGAGCATGTATCACAACATGTGATTCTAGAGTAAGTGGCATGAACAGAAAAAGATGTCCAAAAACTGACACATACTGGAGACTGAAGACAATCAAGGATACAGTTTATACGGTTATTAAAGAGGTATTACGGCTCACCATTTACACAGACTGGCATTTTGTTACATTTTAAGCATCATTTTAAAAAAGAATTCAGATTAGAATATTTCATTTGACAAGTAGTCATTTGCATAAATTGTTTGAAGAGAATTTTGTTTTGTCTTGTTCAGTTTTTCGGTTAAGCTTTAAATGAATCCCTTAAGCATTTAACTTAAAGATTTAAGAGGTTTTATACAAGTGGCCACAGATCCTTAACTTTCCTTCAAGGTACTTGGATCAGGCTGGCATTATTTTAGATCAGGGTGATTTACCTGTCACAATTATTACAGAATCACCTGATTGCAATTATTTGAGCTGATCACAATTATTTAATCTGATCATAATGATGTTCCAAACCTCACAGCAATGCTAATGATTTTTTCAGCATTTTCATCCACTGACCTGAAGCAAATGCATGTTAAAAAAAGAAAAAACATTTATTGAGACATGTCACGGGTCTTACGAAAACAAGAAAAAAAAAAAGTTATAACTTCTGACATTGGTGCTACAACATATGTGACCTCAAGCTGTGTCTGTCATGGGTTGGGAGCTACCAAGTCAAGCCAATTTGGCCACTGTAAGTTTGTACTTTAAAAGACATAACACTGTTAAAGTGCAATTCTCTACATTGCAATTGTCTGTTAAAATTTCATGATCATGACAGGCCTACTAGACGACTTAATACCTAGTTACAACAGACAAAAATTACAGCTGTAAGAAGTAATGATTCCCCAAAAAAAAGAAACAAGTAAAAAACGTCAACCATTAATTACTCATAATGTGTCTCTAATGCAAGTCTTGTTGAGACGAAACTGGAAGCTGAACGAGAGTTGACCCGAGCTAAGTAGACTGACTGTCTGCAAATGAACATCCACTCTGCTCTGCACACTGTACAGAGATCATACAGAACTCAAAAAACTGGCAGGGCTCGCAGAGATCTGGGCTGGGTGGAGGCCTGGGATATGTGGAAAGAGAGGTAGAGCAGGAGAGAGAAATAACGGGCATGGGACATTACATCACTAGAGAAATGTGCAGCGGTGTAGAGAACAGATGTCTGCGCTTTGTGAGGCAGTGTAGCCGCTCGACGTGAGCCAAACAATGGAGAGCCATAACACAATTACTCCAACCCTGAACAGGGCAAAGGGGAGGGGAGAGGGGAGGGGTAGGCAGAACCCATGCGTGGAAATTTGCCGCATTAGCAGAACCGGTCTAAAACAACGCATCAGGTTCTCCCAGCATGCCTTTTTTCAGAACTCTTTATCTAGAGGTAGTAGGGAAGCTCTCCATGAATATGAAAGCATTAGATCTTAATATGAAAAGAGTCTACCAGCAGCTGCATGAGGTACTGGGGGCTTTCAGTGGAGACCCCAGTGACTGGTCATCAAACTCACTCACACACCACTACAACACTCTTCAGGCAACAAAATGAAAGAGTGTGTGGCATCTCTCACGGTCCTTCCTTAAACTAACAGCTTTGGTCTGCACTCAAAGCCCAGAAGATTATTTTTCAATCTGTTCTCAACTTATGACTGTGGAGAGCAAGAGAGAGAGAGAGAGAAAGAGAGAGAGAGAAAAAGAAAAAAAAAGAGAGAGAGAGAAAAAGAAAAAAAAGAGAGAGCGTGAGAGAGAGAGAGCGCGAGAGAGAGAAAACAGAGAAAGCAAGACAAAAAGAGAGCACACAAAAAGAGAGAAAGACAGAGAGAGAAAGAGAGAGAGAGAGAGAGATAGAGAAAGACAGCAAAAGAGAGAGAGATAGAGAAAAACAGAGTGAGAGAAAACAGAGAAGGCAAGACAAAAAGAGAGCATACAAAAAAGAGAGAAAAAGAGAGAGAAAGAGAGCGAGCAAGCGAGAGAGCGAGCAAGCGAGAGAGCGAGAGAGAGAGCGAGAGAGAGAGAGAGAGAGAGAGAGAGAGAGAGAGAGAGAGAGAGAGAGAGAGAGAGAGAGAGAGCGCTCTGTCCCTGAACTTTAACTTTCACTGAAAACTGGAGCGAGACGTGGAATAAAAAGTTTCTACTTCAGCCTCACATGAATCATGACAGGCGAGAGGATCCAAGCTGAACGTGTTGATGCCATTTATACACTTTAACTGTGCGGCACTGTGATAAAAAGAAAATCACACGTGGCCATCATGAACATCAAAGCGGACAGCAGGCGAGGCCATGGCCTGAGGCTTCCACATCTGACCAGAAGCTGAAGAAGGGTGGTTGTGGAGAATGGGGGGGATGCCTGGTACGCCCTCCCCCTAGCACACAGCCGGCAGAAGAGTGAGCTGTAATTTCAGCATCCCTGTGGCAGTCGTGTGGCCCAAAGCCACAGCAAGAGGCAACGGCAAAAAATAGCCACTGGTAGTCCTGAGAAATGGGAAGAACAGGCACACAGAAAGAGCAGGATCACCCAAGATAAACTTTCAAATGGAGGGAAAAGACATAAAACAGCCCATAATACTTAGAGCTCTTGGGATTCAGAGATGACTTTTTTTGGCATGGCTGAAATTTGACCAGATTCATTTGTGTTTTTATGGTTATTCTTCATTAGAAATGCAATTTAGTGATAAGCTACAATAAAATGAGCCTGTAATTTTGCCATAATCACTTTGCATAAAGTCAAGGTTCTATACCAGTTACCTAGAACCATATGAATAAGCCAAGAACCATTTAGGAACCATTATTTAAGTGTAACCACAAACATTATTACATTGTAAATTAAAAGATGTACTTTTAAATTAAACATTAATCAAACTTTTTAATTAAATCA